AATTTTTGATTTGTTCTACTTTTGAACCCAGCTGTTTGGCCCTGTAGACGACTGTTGAAGATATTTCTGGTGAGGGAGCTGATGAGGTGCCCTACTATTGATCGGTTGAACATTCCGTTTGTCCAAATTTGAAGTTATCCAAATAAAGCTAATTATATGTCATATTTATTTCTACCAAGAAACTAGGTAGAATATGTTTATTTAGTAAAGGAAACAAGTTAACAAAGCTTTCACCATGACATAAAAAGCTTTTTTAGTGATTTCTGTAGACATAGTTTCTGTATTCGTCAGCAGAGAGGATCTGAACTTGGCAACAATAAACCTTCATCTTCTAGAATATCATTCAGTTAGGATTGATGTTCTTTTTACAGGCATGGGGATTGTCCTTGTGGGTGTAGAAAATTTACTCAAGAAACCACTAAAAGCAATGCAACTAATCAAATGATAAGGGACATCGCTTATCCGCCGTAACCTCTCGAACGCATAAAGTTAACTGGTTATGCTATCCTACAAACGTATGATATGTATGAAAGATAATCCCTTTCTTCATAGTAATTGATATGAATAACTAACTTTACCAGATAATTGGTAAATGATTTGCAAGAATTCTATAACCAGTCAGAAACATCAGTAAGCAGTAGTTCTGATTTCTTAGATTTAATAACCAATGTTAGTGTGTTTGAAAAGAGAATGATACCAATTAGTGTTGCTTCTATCATCACAAATATTCCTCTCTCTGAGAGAATCTGTTTATTGTGTGATTACATTGCCATCAGCACTTTAAAATATTGTTGCCAGTTATTTCCATTTATTCATTTTCTTTACACTCCTGAAGTTACTTATCATTTTCTAAACAAAAAGAAGACACTTCAAGGTATAGGATACAGGTCGATGAACTTGTAGCGTATCTATTTTTTTATTTTCAATGTGTTCCACGTCAAGCATTTTCGGGCGATTTTCTGTTCGTCATTTAGTAGGTGATTTTCACTGAAGATTTTATTCCCAGATCTAGCTTTCAGTTAATTAACTTTTTTTCACCTAGCATGTTGGGACGCGCTAAAGTGGTGTGTTCACTGGAGACATATATAGATAGCTTTATATGACTGAAATGAAATCCTCAATGAAAGTCACCTTCCTATGTATAGCAATCACCCACTAAATAAGGAGAAAATTGTTAGATATTGTACTTTTATTGAATTGTGGAAAAGGGTAGTTGTCCTCACACTATTTCAAAGAAGAGGAATTATGTTCGATATCACCTACTAGAACTGGACAACTGTATTCATAGTTATTCTTATATACAATGGTGGTCTATAGTATAAAGAATTATTGCAACTTTAACAGAGGTACTGGAAGTCAATCAGAACTCGAGATTACGTAATGGCCGAAGTGTAATAAGGGTGAAACAAAATATAGAAACGAGATATGAAAGATTACCTACCTGACGATTATAAGGAAGGTAAACATATGAACGAACACATCAAAACAATTTATAAAATAGGATATAGAACTGTTAGGAAGCAAGTTCTTTATGATTTGATAAGACGAAAATTTCGATTATTGTAATCGATGAATAATGTGCTAATCAACAGATGAACGTAATGATATGATGCGGTCAATCGAAGGCTGCTTAAATTAAACCCCTGAATGATCCAAACCTGAAAACAAGACTACTAGCCAGATGAATAGGTCATTTGATACAACGAAATAACGAGCGTATATACACGATTTGGACAGAAAATCAATAGAATAGTGATTGTCGGAAAATAGTTTGTAGGTTTTTCACTCTGATCGATTGAGACTTGGCTGTGAAGCTTGATTTTTTGGCATTGCAGACTACCCATACTAAGTGATATGGGATAATTCTTTGGCAACATTAATAAAACAATGATATTTTTGAATTATTTCATATATTTTTCAGAAGGGGTTTTTGTGGAGATTTAGTTCGAATTTCGCGAGGTGAGGTCGTGGGTGTGCACTGCTGAGGAGTCTTACATTAAGACAAAACGGCCGTCCAGTGCTTCCAGGTTTTCCTTGGTGGTCTAGCTTCAATTGACTCGCGCCTTCAACTATGAAAATACATTTTTCAGTTATCGCATAAACCAAGTTTTGTTTCTTCAACCGACTTTAACTGTCTTATTGATAATAGTTGTAAGATACTACTTTTCTGAAGAACAATAATGCATAAGATAGTTGTCCAGTTCTATACATCTTCCTTGAATTATTTTTTTACCACTTTCAAGACTATAAAGTAATTTGTACCGGATACCTAAACGCTTCTGATGACTTTGTTACTGACAAGACACCCCTTTATCTTACCGTATACCGCTGGATAACAATAAGCATGATTAGAAAAATCAAATTTTCTGACTCAGTGTAAGCCGCTTCTTCATAGAATATGCAATCCAACATTCTAGCTTTGTTCGTTTGTACTATTTAAACTTAGTTTAATTTTATTTATTTATTCTTTGTGTTATGACTCGTATAACAATTATTATTGTATATGAAACGTGCAATGATACAGAAAATACGTACGAGCAGTCTTGATTGCTATTCGGTCCTTCCTAACTGCCTAGCCCAGCCAGTTGAGTCCAGAACACAAATAACAGCCTCGGAAATATGAATCATTATTCACAAGCACACTGGGTTATATATACTAACCAAACAGACCCAATTATACCAAAAAATAGAAAAATAACATTTGTACAGTAATTGGCCAATGTGGCTGTAGCTAGGGGGAAAGTAATCAATAATAATAGTTCCAAGGTCAAAACAAAGGTTGTGATAAGAGGAACACGGAAACGACTAGGTCACTTATTTAACAACTATCCAATAGGGAATGGGCATATTGTATTTGTCCATAAATAGACATCAGATTTAGGTTACTCATTTAACAACTATCCAATAGGAATAGGCGTATTACATTTGTCCATAAATGGACATCAGATTTATGATTCATAATTCGCCAGGGGATACAACACTTTGAAGGAGTGGCATCCACTGAGTCACGAAACAATCCACCCAATGCTCAATTTATTTGAAATTATCAAGTCAAACCTTGGTAATGATACCAATAAACATGATTGTACAATACTACTAAATGATATTGCTGAAAAGATTTTCTCCATTTATCTGCCTTCATTTACCCAAGTTAATAAATGAGTCTTCGTCATCTTCACACGGGATTGATCTCTAACTGCGAAATCTCCACATACGTTGGTTAGAATCCTTATACTTGATAAACCAATTGATTTTCTCTTACCAAAAACTGTTCCTTTGAATACGTTAGACTAGTGGTTAGCCATTATTGGTTGAAGTGATTAAGCATAATCCACTCGTTCTCTTATTATAAGTTCACTTAGTACATCTAATCAGTTTAGAAACAAGTATTCAACTGCCTCAAGATAATGTGAGGTAATAAGGACAAACTTATTTGATTCGTTTGAAACTAAATTTGGTTAGGGTGTAAAGATATTTGATCATATAACATTTATTACGTAAAAGTTACTGAAATTATTTGGTAGGTAGAATATAGTTTAAGCCTATGATCTAATAGTTCACTTTAGAACGACTAAACGTATGAGCCAAAACTTAATCAATCTACACCTAAGAATCAATTCGACTAGAAATAAAATACTAACCAGGAAACTATGTTATTCGTTTTACACAAAACCTACTAACAATTTTAATAAATAAGGCAAGACCATTAAGATACATCAACCATTGCCTATCTTAATAGGTGATATTTGCTAATGTAAGTTGGATGAAAGATAGGTATGAACAAACCAAGAAGTAGCAACAGTTCATGATGTCATTGGCAGTTGAACTAAGTCATGTTGGTAGGTGTAGATTACTTGATTATGGTCTGAGAAACTACTGGGACCAATGTTTGGAGACTTTAATTGACAAGGCTCAAAGTCAGTTGCAATGAAGCAGAAACAGTCTTCTTCAAGATCTTGAACTGATGAACATACGCGCTAGTATATGCGTTGCTTATGATTAACATTCGACCACAGCTATAAAACACAATTGCATTCAAAGTATTTCTACCACACTATAAAGTCCGTAGATTGAAAATGACATTGTACAGTTCATAGATTCACGTGATCGAGGTGTACACTTAAGCGATTAAATATTAAGAACAATGGAAACGACTTATGTGTACTTGATAAAATTTTTAAGATAACTGATACAATTCACGTTATTGATATCACATACATGCTGTTCTCATTTAATATTTAGCCTCATATCACTATATCAACAAGACCGAATTAATCAATCCCAGAGGACATATTCTTATTGATGAGCTGACTGGTATCTTTTATATTAAATCATAAAAGATAATAACAGGAAGCCTAAGTGTCCGACTGTCAAATTTAATACGATCCAAAAAAGTACATCTAGAAATTTGAGTTTATCATCAATATCTGAAATTTATAGACTGACTATTTAATGGTGACCAATATTATCTTCGAATAACAACAGATCAACAGAATTCAATTAAAAAAGTAACCAACGGACGTAGATATCTTCTTCCTGAAGGAGATCAATAGCGCTCTGAATAGCCTAGTAGCGATAACACCCTTAAATGTAAAAACTGGGTGACCCGGGTCCGAATTTCAGACGTGTCTAATTCGTCAAGTTTCCACGTACACCTTAATGATGAATGTTATCACTGTAGGGTGGAGTGTATAAGAATTATAAATATTGAATTTTGAATAATAGATTATACAAGGAACATGCTTTACTGATTGATACATACTATATTTGGCAACCTTGTAGACCAATGAAGAACTGAGAGTTCATTTAATACTCATGATATACTGAAGTAACAACTTGTTGATTACTTAATAGTGAATTTGCGATTTATCTAACATTGAATAAACCGACTAGTTCAAAGATTTATTAAGGTATTCAATATAGAAAAACACTACTGATCACAGTCGAAACACATAGTATAAGATACTAAAAACAAAAAAGATGATCATGTAAAAATCGATTTATTTACAAGCCAAGCACTCCTCATCACTACTACTAGACTTTTTCATACGTTTTAGAGATTTGCGTTTTGACTGTTTAGTAGAGGAGTTGCAATCAGCTTTAATGACAGATTTCATGGTTACATCATTATTGTTATTATCATAAGATAGTGTTTGACAATCTTCCACATTTGGATTAGTTACAATTGATTCAGTATCATTATTGTCGTATGAAATTCTCACTGGACCCGGGTCCTGTTCACTTGAATTATGCTGATCTGTTAAAAAAGGAGATATAGGAAAACAAGACAAATTTTATTTATTATACAACTTTCCACTTCTAAATTTTTACAGAAGTACAAGAAAGTAACTGGAATTTTTTGATAGAGACGACAGAAACAATGATAACAGTACACCGAGATATTATTATTATCATTATTATTATTTAAACACAAATATTGGTACAAGGGGCACCAGATATATATGCGCCACACAAATCTCATTTGATTCATGTGAGGACTGTGATACTGTCCACACGCCCAAACCGAAGCAGGTGGTTTTATTAGGGGGCCACACCCGAAGCCTTTGACCGGGTCTGGTCCATAAGGCAGTGGAGCATCGTCAGGAGATGCAGTCCCATGGTAGCCGGTGACCAACAATTGATTCATACGCCAATTGTTCCCTCAGGATACTGGAGCCCATGTGCACCATTGATTGGGAATCAGCGTTTTCCAACTCCCCTAGGTGAACTTTCCGTGTCCACCAACCCGGTTAAAGCGCCGGACATTCGTTTTTCGTCCTCTCAATTTTGTAAACAACACCTCCGCCAAGAGAAGGTAGTGAGTAGGACCTTCCTGGCAGAGGCTATATACGCGTTGCCATGTGAGAGTGGACTCTCCCCACTCTCGGCCGTACCAGGGCATATGAAATCAAAGCACACAAATGTCGTATGTGGATTAATAATAATAATAATAATAGCAGTAGTAATAAAAACTATAATAATGGTAGCAATGATGATAGTGCTAACAATAATAGTAATGATAGTAGTAGTAGTAGAAGCAATAATAAAAACAATAGTAATAATAATAATAATGGTGAAGCAATAATAATAATGACAATAAAGAATAGTAATGGTGACACTAGTAGTAACAACAATAATAAGAGTAATGGTAATAATAACAATAGTAGTAATGATAATGATAGTAATATTAGCAATGATGAAAAAATATTGATGATAGTAGTGGCAAAAATAATAATAACAACACTGATAATGGTAATAGTAGTAACAATAATAATAGCTTTATTCAATACTATATGCTTAGCACAATTCTATATTCCGGTTACACAAAGAGTGGGGTTCCAGTACAATATTAAATAGATAGAAACTTAAACTTCGTGGTAGCTTTTACACACCAACAAGGTTCAGACGAACAGTCAAAGATTTTATAAACTAATATTGTGTTAGTTTCTCACCAATTAATTTCTAATCCACTTAGTATTCGGATCCACGGTATATTTTTACTTGAAATGTGGACGGTTTTGCAGCCTAAGCCATAGGATGGGAAATATCACAAAGGCTGAATGAGGATTCCAGATCTTAGCTGAGATTTCCTTAGACACCAGGGCGTCAAGGCTGATGAGATTTACAAGGTAGGTAAAGTTGTCAACTCTTTTAACTGCCTTACTTCAAGTGATTAGATTAAATATGATATTTAAACATAGCATACCTTTATTTCGGTACTGGATAGACAGCTCTCTCAAAGTTGTATCATTAAATGGAGGTGAAATACTATTAAGTGATTGATCTAATTCATTCAATGAGGCAAACAATTCCTTTTCAACTAAAATATGACGAGCTCCAGATGATTTTAGCATGACATTCAACGAGAAAACAATGAGTTCTGTTTCCGCTATGGAGTTTAGATAAACTTTATGATCATCTGTAGATTTCATAACAGAGATAAGATGTTTTGCCGTATTGGAAAATTCTTTGGCATGCTGTTTGAATAAAACGGAGTGTTCCGCTAATTTCTCCACCATACTAAAAATTTTCTTACGATCTTCTTTTATTTTAGCTAGAAACAGCTTACATAATTCGTTGTGATAGATCAATGAGAAACTTACTTTCGAATCAAGTTTTAAACGTTGCTTCGTAACCATTATAAGACGAGGTTGATAAAAAAAGCGTTTTCGTCCACAAGAATAAATTGAATGACTACTTAACTAAAATGAATAAACGATTATCATTAAATTTATTTGGTACTTAAGCAAAAAGATAGTTAATAGAAAATAAGTTACCACATTTTACTGTTTAAGTACTTGTTTCTGTAATTATGCGTACTTCACCACTCCAGTAGTATAATGTAACCGTTTGACTCTTGTCATCAAAGCAGTGATACTAACTTGTAATTATTCTGCTTATGAGGTCTATGAAAACCACTTGATCATAAAATCAATCTTCTTAAACTCAACTTTGTATCTGAAGCCACTCGTCTTTCTTCTTGGTTCAAACAGGGTTGTAAGCCATATCCATGTACTCCACCTTGTTATTGTTTTCCAACCGTAGCTACTTCCTTAACTTAGCGATCAGGCTTGCATATAGTAATGTTCCAGTTGAGCTACATTGGCTGGAACACTTTAGGTACTACTACATGGCCCATAAGAGTAGAGGATATTCGTAGGCTACTAGTGTTCGATCATAGATGTCTTCGAAAGATTGCTCGTATATACTGGGACCACCGGGTAAGTAATGCAGATGTTAGGGAATGGGTACTAGGTAAGGATGGCAAATCGATTGATGAAGTAGCGAAACATCATCAGTTGGGATGGCTAGAACACGTGTTACGTATGTCCAACCACCGACCGCCCCGACGTGCGATGTTTTATGGTGTAGGAGCAGGTTGGAAGAAAGCTATGGGTGGCCCGACCAAAACGTGGCACAAATCCATGAAGTCACTGACAATTGGACTGACAAATGTTGGTAGGTGTAGACTGCCTGCTTGGGATTGGCGAGATGATAGCAATCGATGGTTAGAGACCTTGAATGACATGGCTCAAAATCGTTTACAATGGTGAAGGTGCATCCAGTCTTTGTGTTCTGCCAAATTCTAATTCTCTAAATTCCTCATGTCCCTATCCTTTTTCTCTTTCCAAATTTCACTGGATTATGCTCCTTGAATAACATCTTCAAACCCTAATCTTTCACATAATACTTATACTCTTACTACTTCTACCACTATGGGATTTGAATCGACAACTGTATCTCTGTACTAATGTGGTATGGCAACTCGAACTGATGTACGTACGTACGAATTTCTACGTTGTAACTGACTGACTATTAATACTACTACGACGACGACAGAAAGATTATTTGGAAAACGGTAAGACTAAGAGCAACAAGCTAGCGGTCCGACGTTATGCAGCTGACCGTGCAGAAGTGTGACAGAATTAAGGCATTTGCATCAAACAACCAGAACCCACAGCAACGCCGGCTTCTTACAAAGGAAGGGGTTAGAAAAACCCAACCGTACATATATCATATCTTCAATACGAACATTAAGACAGCTCAACCATACGGATTTGGAAAATGGAAAACTATCAAAACCATCATCAAAAATGTACAAGTATTTATCAACAATCGTTTACGCAAGATACTTAATGTCCGTTGGCCAGATACCGTCAGCAACAGCCTACTGTGGGAGAGAACAAACTAACTTTTAGCTGAGGAAGAAATTAGGAAAAGACGTTGGAAGTGGATAGGACACCCATTGAAGAAATCATCAAACTGGGTCATGAGGCAATCCTGAATCCTGAAGAGAGACGAAAAAGAGGAAGGCTAGAGAACATACTGCGCCGAGAACTGGAAGCAGACATAAAAAGGACGAATAGCGATTAGAAAGGATTGCCCAGGACAGAGCTGGATAGAGAATGCTGGTGAACGGCCTATGCTCCCCCATAAGGGTTAACAAGCGTAAATATCTTGCCCCATGAATTTCCGTTTCTTGTGGTAGTACCTTTTGAAGTACGGAGCTAACACATAAAAAGATCGTGTGACCAGTCCCTTGGGCTTTGAGATCACGCTCCCAGGTAGCTAAGACTGACCTTAATCCAGCTTTTTCTTCAGGCCTCTTAATAAGAAGTATCTTTCTACGGTGTTAGCAACTGGGAAGTGATAAATGCTCTCACAACTTTAACACACGGGATCATACCCTAACGAGAAGACGCATTTCTATGCACTTCACTGAATGTGGGCAGCAAAGAGATCCCCTAGATAATAACCAGAAGGTGAGGTCAAATGTGGTATCCTAGTGGATTGGTGGGAGCTCGAAAACTCATCGAAACAGGTTCGAAGGACGACGAAGAGCAACAACGCAAACAGAAAATAACAAGAACTTTAGGCGATGATTGTGAGCGGTAGTGAGCGACGAAAGGAGAAGAGATGGAAAGTCAGAAACGATAAGTAACACCATACAACTCTGCCTCTTGATCAGGGGAAGAAGTACAGAAACAACAAGTGTGAGATTATCTTGGAAAGGGATAGAACTACTAGTTACTCTTATTCTAGATCAAATAGGTGAGGAGAGCATTTTAGCTGCTGTTTAGGTACTGTTTATTTATTCTCTATTCCCAATCAACCTTAATATCAGATTGAGACAACTTTCATAACTCATAAAGAGGCCGAAAAAGCTATAATCTAAGATAAGAAATCAGTCAGTCACAACGTAGAAATTCGTACGTACGTACATCAGTTCGAGTTGCTATACCACATTAGCACAGAGATACAGTTGTCGATTCAAATCCCATAGTCGTAGAAGTAGTAAGAGTATAAGCAGTAGTCCGAAAGATTAGGGTTTGAAGATGTTATTCAAGGAGCATAATCCAGTGAAATTTGGAAAGAGAAAAAGGATAGGGACATGAGGAATTTAGAGAATTAGAATTTGGCAGAACACAAAGACTGGATGCACCTTCACCATTGTAAACGATTTTGAGCCATGTCATTCAAGGTCTCTAACCATCGATTGCTATCATCTCGCCAATCCCAAGCAGGCAGTCTACACCTACCAACATTTGTCAGTCCAATTGTCAGTGACTTCATGGATTTGTGCCACGTTTTGGTCGGGCTACCCATAGCTTTCTTCCAACCTGCTCCTACACCATAAAACATCGCACGTCGGGGCGGTCGGTGGTTGGACATACGTAACACGTGTTCTAGCCATCCCAACTGATGATGTTTCGCTACTTCATCAATCGATTTGCTATCCTTACTTAGTAAAGATAAGAAATAAAACAGCAGATTCTGATGGCTTAACCTAAGAGATGTCTGAGGATGGTGATCTAGCTTTAGCGATAAGGATGAATGAGATATTAGATAAAATCTAAGAACCGGATGTAATCCTATCTGACTGATCTCAATGAATGATTTTCCTAGTTTGTAAGGTAAAACTCCACCTGCAATAACAACAGAGGAATCATTTTGACTAACACAGTACCTGAAGTATCAGCCTCAACAATCATATAATGCTTATATAGGGCTCGTGAACCCGGGGAAACCAGGTTAGTTTCAGGCCTGGGAGTTGATGTGTAGATTAGATATTCACTATTCATCAAGTTTTGGGACACTGCTTACATATGTATGATTATGGTGGCATTTCTTGAGCTTAAGGGAGCATTTAGACATGTTGACGAAGTTCTGAATAAATGTTTGTCGTTGAAAGACGTATTAAAAGAACACATAAACATTGTGAAAACTCACTACTTTGAGAGAGACTATTGGTCAAGTCAGAGCTTATGGCAAACCGCTAATCTCATTTGGCGTTTGCCGGACTACATACTATCTCCATTTTTACTAAACTTTGTCATCGATTTTGGGCTGACAATAGCATCTTTAAAGTTGACTTTTTAGGTGTCAAAATCCCATCATGGGGTTTGTTTATCGACTTAAAGTAAAAAAAATGACAGTCTTATTATGTGAAAACTTTGACAGAATGCATAGTCTTTTAAATGCTAAGAACAACGATGATAACATGTTTTAGGTAGGTTTCTCTCTCTTTAAATGCAGAATGTTACTTGAAAACTGGTCTTCACCAACGCTTAAACAAGTGATAGAGAATGAAGTTGTTGAGTTTGTTGACCAATTCACTTATCTTGGAAATCTCATCAACGCCAGAGGGTTGGTATTAGACGAAACTTCGGCAAGGATTCAGAAACTTTGGTTGTCGTTTCCCAACTTGGGTCACTTGTGGTATAGACATGATGTTTGTCTATTAGCCAAAGGGCATGTATGCTGCTTAGCAGTCCTCTTGGTTGTACTTAATGACAGTAAAACATGATCTATGGAAGTAAAAGATGTGAGTGTACTGAAGGTTTCTGATGATGTGTCCTCGAAGCATCGCTCGCGTTTTGTGGAACTACTGAGACTAGGTATGGGATACTAGACAACTATTGATAAACAGGGAAGACCTGATGCAGATGTAAAGACAAGGATTGGAAAAGCAAGGAAAGCATCCTTACAGTTGAAGAATATATGGAATTTAAAACTATCAGCCAACATCAAAGTCAGAGTCTTCAATACGAACGTCAAGACAGTTCTACAGCACAGCTGGAACTTGGAGTAAAGAATGAGTATTTATAAACAATTGCCTACGCAAGATACTCAGTGTTCGTTGGTCGGATACTATCAGCAACAGCCTACTGTGTGAGAGAACAACTTCCAACTGAAGAGAAAATTAGATAGTGGAGGTGGATAAGGCATACATTACGGAAATCATTAAACGGCATTATGAGGCAAGTCCTAACCTGAAATTCTGAAGGGAAGAGTTTGTAATGTGAATTCGTCAAAGCACCTCCCTGATGACGTTTGTTTAAGTGGAGTTTTGCATTCTTTGTACGCCTTTCCACTTGAGTCTGATACGAGGCAGATAAAGAAATCGGTGCATAGCTTTTATATACTGTTTAGCGTACTAAGAACCAATTTGTATTTATCGATGTACCCAGCAAGGAGGTTCCTACCGTACCAAGCAAGTGGATTGCGGGGGAAAGAACTTGATTCCTACCGACTTCGTGGATATGCATCTGCATAACAGTGCTCTATCAGATGATAATTGGCCAACCATGAAGTGAGAGGTCATCCACTACTTTGGTGGGTCCCAAACAGAGACATTCATTTCCCGTAGACAATTTACAGACTGCAAAGGAATTGTTAAAGAAGCCAATACAGTAATCGTAGGGGGTATTGAAACGGAAACAATGGTTTTTATATAATTCCGTTGATATGGATGTAGCTGAAATACAGGACAGAAACAGCCAGGACCAATATTCGGAGTTTAGGTTTCTCAACATTACAGTCTCACCAATCGCAAAGTAGAGATGTTTTACTTGTGTTAATAAAAAAGTTCTACACGATTAGATATGTCGCCCTCAACGATCGCGTCAAAATGGGTTAGCGATTAAGCAAGTCACATTTAGAATTTAAGTCAGTATTTAAGACTCGACAAACTATGCTGTTCTGCAGAACATATCATCAGTAATATCAGACTTGAGTGTCAACATTATGCAGCTAATATCTAAGTTTGATGGACATGAACATTCACGGAAACTTGATATTGGACTATCAAGTTTGCAGTTCCCCTTGTCATCTGAAGAACTGCGAACGTTAGATACATGTCTTCAGCAGGAAGACATAAGGAACAAATCTGTTAGTCTACTAAATTCGTGAGAATGTTACTTCACACTGCAAACGATCATGGTGATGCGATTAATAGATTGTAATCTTTAAAAAATTCTATGCGCTATGCGTCATGAAACCTGAAGTTACCAGACACTTCACACTACTTGGCAGTCTGTGGGAAAGAAAGCTTCAGAAGTGCAGGTTTTACGGCGACTTACGAAGTCTGTTTCTTCCCGATTGTTAGGCGCGCCAACATCGCGGTTCTTATCGTTATCTGTCACCTAGAAAGAACCTCCTAAACTGTATGACGTGGCGAAGCAAGTTTATTTCCATGGAACGAGAGATATTACAAAAGCATCGTATAAGGAAAATAGAAAATGTAAGTACTAATTGGGAATAATAACCTTTCATTGCTATTCTATAGGTTTAGTGTTCAGCATTAACGAAAATCACCGTAAGTCTCACTTTATGTCAGCACTTGTTTAAAAAATGATAGCAGCTAAACATTGTTATAAATGTTGGTTTATTACACTTCAAAATTCACGAGGATTATTTTTATCAGGGATAGTAATACTAGTTCAAAAAAGGAACTATCTTTGGAATTCATTTTTATGTTAAAACGAACTTCCCAATAAAACTTTCTCTTACCATGTATTTACTTTCTCACTTGGATGTTATACGTTGGGACTAAGTAAGTGTATATCGTAACAGCGTGTCTGATTTTATATGCACTTAACAATTAGGACACAATGAATAACGCATTACATATAATTTATCTCGCATATCGTAGATGACAGCAAGCTTAAGCTAGGATAAAACACACTGAATGTACTGATAATTGAGTCTGGATGGGGTCGGTCTGTTATTAATCATGGTTTACATTACATCAACAAGGTGAAGATTGAATGGAACCAGATTCACGAAGAATTGCTAACATCTCAGTACTCCTAATTCACCAAATAACAATGCGTGACGATCATCTATTTGGTAATCATCTTCTTGCAAACTATTATTTTCAGTTAATAAAGTTATTTACCCAGCATGTTTTTCAATCCAATCAAACGCAGTTGAAATGTGATCAAACGTTTGTTTTGTAGTGGAAATGAGGGTAAACATGGAAAAAAATGTGGCTAGGCGAAAAGAGGAAATTTGGCGACATTTTAAACATCCTATTTTGTTTGTTTGGGGAATTACCCCTGGAAACATCATCAAGTAGTTAGGAGTTTCAGAACGATCGTGAGTGTTGAAAAAATCAATCATTTCATGTAGTTAGGAAACGACATTAAGAGGGGATTCACAAATTTGTCTAGAAAGAAGAACTACTACTAACTTTAATCAACCCGTGCACCAAAAAGTTAACGATCCAGTGGCATCGTCCATCATGGAGGTTGCTGAGCACTTGAAGGTCAAACTGTCGTTAAACCATTGGTGCGTCACCTCGACAATTCGCAAGGTCTCTAAGAAGAGGTCAAATCAAAACATTCCAAATTTCATCCGGGTTTAGCCTTGCTGTCTGATAACCTCCATCCTTTAAGTAACGAAGATGATGCCATCGTAACGACGTATGATAAGGGACGAACGTGCACTGATTTTGGAGGTGAAATGTCACTGAATCCGTCAGTTGGGTCACTGAATATCGAACAGACGATCTATCCCTGTTAAAGTCAAGGACAACAAACGCGCATCAGTAAATCATACGCCATGGACCGGCCCGTTAGGTGGTAGTCTCATTAACATCTCTGTACTCATTCTTACTAGTATATTTACGTAATCACCCCCTTTGTGTTATACTGTCTTCAAAGCAGTCATAGTGCTTTAATACATCGAAGGGGTAATCCACATTAGATGCTTCGAAGTTAGCTGGTTCGTCACACCGTTCCCGTCTTACTCCAATCATTCGACATACATAATCAACTTTGGTGGTCTGCAGCTGTCAACTTATCGGTTAAGACAAATTTGAGACCTGTCCGAAATTACATAAGGTAATAGAAATTCCGTGATTAATAGTTTTTTGTACACTATACTCAAACTAAGCATGTCATATCAGCATTAAAGAAAGGACAAGCTAACTCAAAAGTATTTCTCGTCAGCTACGACATAGTTTTTGTACAAATGCACGTAAACTTAGTGCATCGGGATCGAATACTTTTCATCAGCATGTAAATGGTGGTAGTAATCAGAATTCATCCAAAGAACATGCACCTTCCAACTCCACCACAAACTTGGCAAATTAACCGACGTCCGTCATCTGTGTATGCTCCATTTCGAATGAATTTATCCGTAAGGCTGTAGCGGTGAATAAATCCCCAAAATCAATAGCTCTGTAAGTGTTCGACATTTGATGTTGACCACATTAGTTTTAATGGACCCACCTAGCTGAAGGCGCTCGGTCATGCATCTGCACCGGATCACGAGCGGGAACGCCTAAGTATTGCCACTGCCAATCTAGATTTTGGGTTCGTGCAAAAAATGATCAGCTAATGGTCACTGTAATTAAAATTGTGCACAACCACCATTGCCCAGAAAGATATGTTTCCGTAGATACTTCGAGACGACATTTGTCGTCGTGTTAACTATTATACCAAACACCAACGCGTGGCATTCGACATCTGGTTTCCTGGAAATTCCACAAGCAGCTTACCGAGGTCGATGTTGCCAAAATGAGGTCAGAGTTGTATCCAGGTTACTAAACGTGCAGGCTAGTTATTGAGTTGAGACATTAAAAATATCAACGGGATTTTACAGCGCTTCCAAACAAACACGGAAGTATCTGAGGGACATGGGAATATTTCTACGATTTGTTCCAGTAACAGGGAGCAAATAGCTATCTGAAAATGCATCTTGTGTTATGACGAAGATAATATGTGAAGTTGTTACTTCGTATTCAATGTGTGTTTGTGAACGTTTAAATGAGTATATGTTGCAGTGTGGCCATATTTTGCATGCACATTCTAAAGATCTAATTCGTGGATGTAAGTGTGCATTCATGGGTTATAATAACCAACCAATTCGACATAGCAAACATCTAACAAGGAACTACATAACCGACTTGGTTCCCTGTGCGTTGAATAGCATGTCAAACTACACGGAGGGTGGAGATCTGCCGGAGGAGTTCGCTAATAACTGTTACTCAATCCGTGCTTTTAGTAAACCTTTGGTCGGAAAACCCATCCGTCCGTACTTCGGAGCATCCAAAGAGATATACAGAAGTTACGGGTTCAAACGGTAGTAACAAAAAAGCTACATTGTGCCGATTGACCATAGCTATTCTCCTTGATAGCAAGACGTTTGATATTGCAATTTTTCTTCAGTTTTACATAGATTATTCTTACAGCGTCACGACAGGAAGAGTGTACTTTGCAGTTTTGTGTTACTATTTGACTGGGAAACGTTGGGATGATTGTCGGATGGTGTTACTTTTTCGTTTTCTGTCGTAATAATCCGAATGATTTTAATGATTTACGTGTGTAATACAAGGATTTGTCAATAAGCAGGCTGTCATTTCAGTTATCACTGAATCACTGATGCCTCATTTAGGAATGTATGTATACTTAACAAACGTAAGAAAAATATCGGTAAATTGTGACAAAATATTTCCATGAGTCCCTGAGGATATATCACGTTTTCCCTTGAATTACTTCGAGTAGGTTTCTTGGACTACTCTATCTGTAAATGAATTCCAGGACTCAGCTTTTTGTAAAGAGTATAAGGTATGTCTGCAGTGTAGTTTACTGTGTTGTGCCTCTGATTTCTGAATATTCTCTCTTTGGATTTCTTTTGTGATCGGGATTAGGTGATTATTCTCGGGGGTGTCAAACAATGTTTATGATGATTCAATTCATTATAAGGTCACCCCTGAATCTATTAACTCACGTCAATACATAACATTGAGAGAAAATATCGAAATTGTAGGTCCCACTCGTGACATCTCCCAAATTGACTACTTTACGCTTTTGGTCGTTGTTAAAAGTAAACTCATAGTTTACCCGTTTGGGGGTAGCATGAGAATTGTAGTTATTTAGATACTACAGTTTCCAATACACCAATTCAGCTCTTAGGTTTGCTTTTGAGACTCCCTTTAAGCCGTATGTGAGTCTCTCATCGGTTTATATTGCATGTGGTGATTAAAATAACAAAATATTGTCGTGTTAAGAGCTCTTTGGCATAACCTTAGTCGCTGGTCGGGGTATCCATCAAAAACTAACAACTAAGAGACTCTGGCCTTGACTTTTCAAAAAAAGGTTGGATCGCCCTTCCCATTTGGAGGTATATTTATCCATTAGCTTGATCTAACAGTTAAACCTGTCCTCTGTTAGCCTCTTTATGCATTAGTTTCTTGCTTGTTTAAACTGCCTATATGTGTTTTCATCACAGGTTCATTTGTATCCTAACTTGTAACATTGTTTTAAAGTTAGGCATTCGAAGGGTGCGATTCCCTATCCCTTTAGGTTGCATGTAACGTTTAAAGACTTTTGTGGGACGAACTAATTTGTAGGCTATAAGATCGTGTGAAGTGAGAAACTCCAGTAAGCAACTTCATCAAGTTGAAGTGCTTTGTTCATATTCTGTACATTTTTTTTTAAAGCAGAAACATCTAGACGCATGAAGTTCAAACACCTGTCAACAGGATATTTGATTTCAGTTTTGGTAATGAAATTGATGGATATGGAGAAGTAACGGGTTTTACCAAGGGAGCTAAGATTGAGAAGTTTTCAATGAAGAACTCTTTGTTTATGAACATACGTTCGACATGTGATGGTAACTGACCGTTTCCCTACTTACTTGCTAAGTTAGTATTTCTGAAAAAAATCCTAGTACTCAAATAAAATATCATAACATGGCGTTAGTATAATCATTATCTTCGTTGTGCATGTGTTCAGTGAAGATGACTTTGTGAAGATTGACGTATGTCTGAAGATTAGGATGTGAGTTTATCATAAACAGTTAAAAAAAAGTGACAGCTTCAGTATGCATTTGTTGTACTCAGTGTCAGCATTGAGCTGTCTGTAGATGACTCCAACTAAAGGTCCTAAAGTGTAACACAATATTAATGAGCATCATTTAAACTAATGAAGATGGATTGAAACTTGAGTATAAACTTGATTTTTCTCCAAGCAAGATAGTGAGTATATGATAGCAGAGCCTCCCAGTCTGGCTTCTTTGTCGCTTTGAAACAAGGACATACCGACTGTTTCCAGCTGTTTAGTCATGTTTTCAGGTGTCTATGCTTCACATATTCTTGTAAAACATGTATTACTGGCATTGCTTAGTTTGAGAAACCTGTCCATTTATCTCGGTGAATTGGTTGTGTACGTATGCAATCACTTAATGTTTTCGATTAGATGCCCATGAGAATTTTACTTTGGTCAATCCAAATGTGCGTAATATGTATGTAAGAAAGAACCGAAGGCAAGGATTTTCCAAGTGTATAGAACGAGTCATCACTATGTTTAATACGTATTCCTGCAAATCTACAATTACATTAAACAGTGAAAAAGGTTATCCTATAACGGTTTAACAGCTTGTAAATCGAAGCATTGTACTCACAACGCAAACGTGGTGTATAGAATCCATGTCTGACTACCCCTTAAACGTGAATAAATACGTTTACTCTCAACCCGATAGATGTCATGGGATGAAAGGCAGTACAATTATCGACATCCGTTCGGACATTTAAGGATGTAAATTTGTGAGCGAGCGTCGTGATGTTAAAGATGACTACACCTCAGCAATCGTAGACTGAGGATCAAAAAGTCACCTACTGATGGGATGTGCATACTGAATATTCAATGTGGATATTAACCTTGGCAGATTACCAACAAACATATTCTTCATTCTTTCCTCCAAACTACACACGTTTAATATAACTAGGAGAGACTTTAATCTGCTAGACATTGTATCGAATTCGACTTCCATGCCAGAACAATATAACAAGTTGGTTGAAGTACGAGAACTATGTGGATGGGCCCGGCTGGTACGAAAGATGACTTTGAGGAATAATAACTTGACTTGATACCTACAATCAACTTCGGCTCCATCGCGGAACACCTCAGCCATGAACGTTTTATGAGCTATTTTAAAGTTGCATCGAGTATATTTTATTCTCCATATACTATATTACTGAACTATAAATCTGCAACGGAGTACCAGAGAATGCAGTCTAGACAACAAACATGGAAGCTAACGAAACTCCTATTACCATGAGAATCATTTATTACAACAAACAACATTGACACTGTGCTTTTAAACTTACACCTCTTTTTGACGTACTGCCTTGACTGCACTGCTCAGAATATCGACCACGTTATTTATGACACTAATAGGAGCCAAAATACTTCTAAAACACTCAAGATAAACCCAAGAAAATTAGAGCAACGCTACCATAAGCATCGAAACTTGTGTGCGTTCCAGAACACACCAAACCTAATTGACAGAATTGACTCATCTGGACGCAAGTTTATTTTAACTATGTAGAATGGCGTTTCCGGTAGCAAGAACCCAGGCTTATAAATAGTTCGGCTTCTCAAATCTCACGTGAAATCGAATCCTCCCAGCATAATTGAGTTCTTCATAACTAATGGTAGCACTGTAGGTGACCCTGGTACTATTTGTGGGCAATTCGGCCGCCGACTCTTGTGATTCTAAAACACGGAAACTGAAACCTCTATCAGTGCTTTTCAAATATTGACAACTAGGCGTCCATCCACAAGATCTTATATACTAGGTAACCATGTAGGGTTAGTGCCTAGTTCGGCATTAAGTACATTTTTATCCTCTACTAAAACGATAGACCTAGTTCCCGAATTGTAAATTTGCTACAATGTGACTACCTGACCATTAAGACTTTACGCGAAGGTCACGTCTTCGCATGTATTGACTTGTACTGTCATGATAGTCAGTGATGTGGTACTTAATACTTCTGAAGAATATTACTGGGCTAACGATGGAATAATTTATTTGATATGCAAGGGAGAAATTCACATGGAGTGACCACACCTGTATGGCCGAGCCATGCCACTCTGATCAAGTATTTCTGCATTCACCATTCCTGACTTTTTCCTATGTGTTAAGTGTCGAATTCAAAATTTCGTAGTCATCGTATATTCTGCTTCGAGGATCTTGTAGTTGAGAACCAATAATATACGGTCAGTTATATGATGTTTGCTACCAGTTTGACCGCTGACCGTTTCACATGTGCTATGAATTGGTGTTTCACTGGCGGAGATTTCAACCGTATCATCTGAGTCATCATCAGAACAACTGTTCATGATAAGGTCTCCTAGATTATGAATTTCAAGAGACTAGTCGATTTTAACAATGGTGGTATATTTGTAAATTCAGAAATTCCTTCAGAATAATACTTGATTTTATGATCTTCAGGATTATGATGCGTTCAGGATATTGATGTTAGTGGTCAATAATTTGCCTTTCCTGCCCTTCTCTGACACAATGTTCTGTCCGAAAGAATATTAACATCTCTGAAAATCCGTTCCCTCTGATGGTATTTGAGAAACTCAGAAGCCCACTCACATATTCGGATGCGTTGAATTTAAACATTATCAGTGGACGCATATCAAGGTTACATTTTTGGCCTTGTGTATATTCATGATACGTGTGTCATATTTCTAGCTTTAAGCAAATTAGTCTTCATAAATTTTACGATGTGTGTGCCGGTACATAAGACACGATTGGATATCTGGATCGTCTTAGTCTTTCGAACATCTCTTAGTGTTCTTTTCCTACGTTAGACTGGAAGCCTAGAAACAGGAGCTTACAAAATTTTCCGAGGAATTATTGGAAAGTGATCATTAGCAGAGTGATTAAAGAATGCTGAAATAGAAACAGATGGGCAAAGGTTCAAGCAGAGGGCACAAAGTAATTCTGAAATTTAGACATATGTTTGAGATAAATATAAGGATATAGTAAGCATTAGTGAAAATGACAATAGGACAAAACGGTCGTCCAATGCTTTCAGGTTTTCCATGGTGGTCTAGCTTCAATTGACTCATGATCTCATCTATAAAATGATTCTATGTGTCTAAGATAAGAAGAATTCATTTTAAGTAATAAATTATATTTAAAAATTAATCTCTCTCTATATATATTAATTGATATGTATGGGAATAATTGTGCAAATTATATATGAAACAAAATAATAAAAAAAAATTTCACAACCATTAGGGTTCAATTAGTCTTTTGAAAATTACCTGTAATAAAATTAAAGAAAACAAAAAAGAGGAAAATGTGAATGAAGTAACCATCACATCACATCATGAGTCAATTAGAGCTAGACCACCATGGAAAGCCCGGAAGCACTGGACGACTGTTTCGTCCTAGTGTGGGACTCCTCAGCAATACGCATCCACGACCCCGCCCACGGGATTCAAACCCAGATCATATCGATCGCACGCGTGAATGCTTAACCTTTAGATTACTAAACCGGCATCCAAGGGTGTTAATGCCTAACTTCAATCAATCAACTAAAATCTCCAGCCCTTCTGATATATATATATATATATATATATATATATATATATATATATATATATATATATACAATTTTCACGCTAAATTAATTGTACCCATTGAAAATTACTCAATACATCTAGAACTCTACCACAATATGAAGACATATTTCATAGACTGGCTGATATCATAAAATAGTATTCAGCTTATAGTTGTTATGAATAGTTAATGATCAGTTTCAATCCCCTATGAAATTATGGGTCAACACGATAAATGTTGAAGTGTCTTTGCTTCATTAATCAATCACCGTTGTAACCGTTATTATATAAATCTCAACGATGCTTGAAATAAGAAGGCTATAAGAAGCGACAACTACAGTTTATTAGCGGATAGCTCAGACAACAAAGCTATAAGCACATTGAACGAATTTGAAGCACAGAGGCTAATATGTATGCGAGTAAGCACAGAGGCAATTTTATAGTCAAATCGAATAAGACGCAGCTAGGCAAGGAAAAGGCTAATAATAGGATTCGAGTACATATATACATAAGGAAGAGAATAATTCACCGAGTTACACCTGTGCTAGAGAGAGACTTACATAGTCTGTCATGTGATTAAGACTAAATGTTTATACAGATATGATAATGATCATAATGGTACAAAGAAATATGCGAATTGTTACTGTCCCATTAACATTGTCTGTTAAGTAAGTTGATTAAAGGACTTAACCAAGATTAATCATGATTGAAATTGATTGTAGAATAGTTGCTTTAATATACTTTAACCAAGAATGAAATATCTAGTCAGTATACTCTACAACTTTTAATAATTCTTCATTTGAATTTCGGATTTAAACAACAATTATCTTCATAAGGGTTTTTTTTGGAAATTTCTAGTAATTTTTATATATAGTTGAAATCATGAGTCAATTGAAGTTAAACCACCGTGGAAAAACTGGAAGCACTGGTTGAAGTTAGACATTAACAACATTGCATGCCTGTTCAGTGGTCTATCGGTTAAGTGCTTGCGCGCGAGACTGGTAGGCCGTGGGTTCAAATCTCACGAGGCGGGATCGTGGATGCGCACTGCTGAGGAGTCCCACAATAGGACGAAACGGCCGTCCAGTGCTTTCAGATTTTCACTGGTGGTCTAGCTTCAATTGACTCATGATTTCAACTATATATAAAAATTATCTTCATAACCATAATAAAATTATAAATGAAACCAAAATATTAAAACTATTAGAAAAAACAATGTCAGATTAACAAACTACATTAAATTTGATTCTGTATATTATGTTCAATGGTGAATGAATGAAATGTCAACTTCGCTTGACTAGTTTAACATTTTTCGTTTTAAAAAGTTTCGTGGCAAACATGCCTGTGATTAAGCTTTGTAGATTACATCATTCTATTGAAGTTAGGTGGAAAATCATTGAAAACTGGGATGTAAAAGACAATGACTTCGTCCTTTGATGAAACTTATTAGCAATATATATTCACAACCCTACCGGGGAACGAACCTAGAACCTTCGGTCTCTCATGCACTAGCACTTATGAAGAGTTCCGTACTAAGAAGAAACTTCTCTCCAATACCTACTTGTTTTAATTAGTTATCTAACTAAAATCAATGAGTAACAAAGTCTATGAAAAGTTGGTAACCCTCAGAAAACTCCTGTAAGTAACAGTGAATAACAAAAAAATTACTTACTAAAATATTGATTTAGAAAGTGAAAATGATAAATCTCTTTGTTCTATAAATGTATTTTTAATTTCTTCTGCTTGTAATTCATGTCCAGAATGAGTGGCCAAAGCTGTTTTACCAACTGTTGTCAATAATGGTTCTAGTACGTTTTTATTCATAGTAAATCCATTGTCATTTTTAGATGTTCCACGAATTGTTAGCTGAACACTTGTGATGAAACCATTGATATTGTTATGATTATTACTACCAGTGGATTGTTTTGGTTCGCATTGTCCATGATCATGAATCTAAATGAATAGGAATAAACGAATATAGATGAATTTGTTAGACTTTTTATCTAGGAGTCTATTCAACATGGAACTACTCAACAGTCCCCTTTCACGACCCCGCACTCGGGAATCGAACCCAGGACCATCGGTCTCGCTCGCGGATGCCGGGTTCACATCCAACGTTGTAATGTTTAACTTCAATCAATCCACGATCGAGAGTCCTGGGTTCAAGTGTGAGTTCGTGGATGCGTACTGATGAGAAGTCCAAAAGTAGGACGAAATGACCGCTCACTGCTTCCAAATATCCAATAGTGATCTGTCACTTATTGAGTCTCAACAGCCCTATATTGACGGAAATCATGAGTATTCGCAAAAATAACATCTTACTTCAAGATTCCTTGAACAGCCAAACAAAAGAAAATATGCTTAACATTTCATAAAGTTTCTTTTGATTGTTTGTATACACATATGGAAGATATATGTGAAAATGTGTTAAAGTACTATGAAATTAAATTGTTTACTACTACTACTATTACTACTACTACTACTACTACTGTGGTGTGATCTACTTATATCTATATAAGTAGCATATGGTGTTGGTCAGATATAGAATGTATTTTCGCAGAAGACCGACGAAGAAAGAACTGAAATGAAGCGCAATTGTTTGGAAAATGCATGAGCAATGGAATTATAGAAGATACAGTGAAGATTGAAACAATTGGTTGTTAATTTGCAAATTGACTGTTCATTGTTTGGTTATCAGAATTTACTGAGATAGTCTGTAATCTTTGCTTAAATACATTCGATTGTCCCCAACCAGTGTTCTGTTCACTACACTACTACTACTACCACTACTACTAACTTGTATTCTTGAACATGTTTCTAACTAAAGGTTATACAGATTCTAAACTTGATGAAAACACACTTCATTTAATTCTGAGTATTTTATTAACTTAATTTATGCTTATATGTATGGTTATTGTATTTTTCATAGTTGAAAGCGTGAGTCAATTGAAGCTAGACCACCAGGGAAAACCTGAAAGCACTGGACGGCCGTTTCGTCCTACTGTTGAACTCCTCAGCAGTGCGTATCCACGACCTCGCCTCGCGAGATTCGAACCCAGGACCTACCAATCTCGCGCGCGAGCACTTAACCGATAGACCACTGAGCCAGCATCCGATAGTGTTCATGTCTAGCTCACCCTTTTAACTATGAAAATACTAAATCTTCACACAAACCCCTTCTGATAACATTGTATTTTTATTTTGTCTTGTAAAAGTAATTTGTTCAAATACTTTATACAGAGAATTCTATATTGAAACATATATTGAATGAAGTCATTAATAATAATGATAATACTTATATATTAACAATAATAATGACAATAATATTTATTTAAATGTACCTTTAACTTCCATAAACCAGCGGCTATTTCACCCCAATGTACCACTGATGTAAATATCATTGATCCTTCACCTGTATACGTATCTAATTTTCGTTGACCTAATATTAATGCATCAGTATTGGATGGACTGATTAAATGCATTTCTAAACTTCCACGACATGAATGTTTCCATTTTATATGAAGAATAACTTGTTCAACCATATCAACTTGACATGGTGTATTTTCAGCAATATTCTGTGCTAATGAATATTTAGTAAGTCCAGATAAATCAGTTATATTGAAATAAATTACGGTGTCGGATTTAGATTTAAGTGGCCTTTTTAATATAAAAAGGGGGGGGGAACAGATATATTAATAAATTAATTAAAATTATAGATCAGAAGGGGTTTTGTGGAGAAATTAGTATTTTCATAGTTGAAAAATACAAAACCCTATAAAATTGTCTTTTTAGTTTATTGCGTTAACCAATTTATCTAATTTTAATTATTTTCATAATTGAAATCATGAGCCAATTGAAGCTAGACCACTATGGAAAACCTGGAAGCACTGGACGGCTGTTTCGTCCTATTATGGGACTCATCACTGAAGACAATTGGTGAATGGTTGCTCAAAATCGTGGATTAGTGGAAGTTAGACATTAACACTGTTGGATGCCGGCCTGCTCAGTGGTCTATCGGTTAAGTGCTCGCGCGAGAGACTGGTAGGTCCTGGGTTCGAATCTTACGAGTCGGGATCGTGGATGCGCGCTGCTGAGGAGTCCCATAATAGGACGAAACGGCCGTTCAGTGCTTTCGGGTTTTCCATGGTGGTCTAGCTTCAATTGACTCATGATTTCAATTATGAAAATAATTAAAATTAGATAAGTTGGTTAACGCAATAAACTAAAAAGACAATTTTTTAGGGTTTTGTATTTTTCTATCATTAATATTCAAGTCCTAATTGTGATGTGTTCGTTAACTTATATATATCCTGAATGAAGTGAAAGCATATCCAACAAATACTCAGTAGTACTTATCATGGATTCCACTACTAGTCATAATTGAAATATATTAGAAGTTGGTTAACTTTACAATATTACAGTCCACCAGGGTGCGTGGTACTTGCGTTGTTGCGCCACAGGATTGAGCTGTACTGCTTGGGTTAAGCCTGGGCAGCGTCTGACTCTCCTGTTAAGCGGGATTGAGCTGTACTGTTTGGGTTGTTGCGTGAAAATCTGGATAGTGTCTGGTTCTCCTGAAAACCAGTGCAAAATTACCCTGGCCTATAAGGGTATATTATATAACTGTGAAGCCCCCAAATGTCCTGGTATGGCCGAGAGTGGGGAAAAACATCTCTCCCTCTCGAAATACTCTCACATGGCCAAGCGTATATAGCCTCTACCAGGGAAGTCCTAATCTGAAGTTTTTATTCTGAGTCATTGGATTCTATTCTAAACTCAGTTTTTATGAGGATATAACACGTGATGAAAGTCAAGAGCGCTATTGATTTCAATATGTTAAGAAATTTAGTATGGACTGGTGTCTTAACTATGGATGAAATAGCTGTTTCTTACTTTTTAAACTTTTAATAATCCTTCATATGATATAATATTGTGTTAAATACCACCTTCAAATAGAATATCAAAATCCTAGCCTAGCTATTTATAGAATCTGTTTCAGTATTAAACACTGAAAGAGATCCAACTTGAGACTATGCTTATAATCTTTGTAGTGTCTTACTTTCAGATAAACTATTTTTAGTTTAGATAAATTACTGAGATGGACATCAGATTTTAATAGTAACATACAGGAGTAATTCGTTTATTTTTCCACCTATCACTCGTATAAAGGATTGCCCAGGACGAGATTGGATGGAGAATGCTCGTGAGCGGCCTATGCTCCTCCACAAGGGGTAACAAGCGTAAATAAGTAAGTAAGTATCACTCGTATGAATAGATTATACATTCATACTTGGATCTTCTTAGAAATATAATCAATCTAAAAACAGTCGGAGCAAATGAGTGATTGGCAATTATTTGTGGTGAATAGATCTATAAAACTGTAGACTACCACTCTTTTGTGTCATAAGTCATTCAAATTCTATTGTGATATTTTTGAAACTATGATACTTGCTTTTTAAGATTATCAGTAAAACAAAAGATTTTGGCAATGTAATCCAGGTTATTTGTAAGTGAATAATTAAACCTTATTTATGCAGCATCAGCTTAATCATGAAACACTTGATATACTAGATTTTTAGTTCACTTCAAAACATTTAGGACTTTGGAAATCTTCGACTCTGAACAATTTTACAAAGTAGCTAACACTTGGATGTTGATTTCAAAGTAGTTTTGTAAATAGATTAAGTCAACTGTTTATATGTTAGTAAATAAACTTGAAATACCGAAATGGGATAAAAGGAATGAAGAATTTAGCAAGAGTTTCTATGTTTGATCAGTTCAATTAGGTAAAAGTATGAGTAGACTGAACTTTGAACAATTCTTAAGGAGCTGACTCATATGAATAACAATGGACATTTAACAATTAACTGAGATTACAATGAACTAAAAAAAAGTGCGTAAGTATTGAAATCTATATTTTAGTGTATTATGTATCATGTGTCCTGGGCCTTCCGTTCTATTTCTATCCAACTTTTGTTTATTCTTCTCATATCTGTCTCCATTTCTCGGTGTAATGTGTTCTTTGGTCTTCTTCTTCTCCTTTGACCTTCAGGATTCCATGTGAGGGCTTGCCTTGTGACACAGTTGGGTGATTTCCTCAATGTGTGTCCTATCCACTTCCAGCGGTTCTTTCTGATTTCTTCCTCCGCTGAAATCTGGTTTCTTCTCTCCCACAGTAGGTTGTTGCTTATAGTGTCTGGCCATTATTCTTTATAGACAACTGTTAATAAACACTTGTATCTTCTGGATAATGCCTTTCGTAGTTCTCCACGTCTCCGCCACATACAGTAGAACTGTCTTCACATTTGTATTGAAAATTCTGACTTTGGTGTTGGTTGACAATTGTTTTGAGTTCCAGATATTTTTTTAGTTGTAAATATGTTGCTCTTGCTTTGCCGATCCTCGCCCTCACATCTGCATCAGATCCACCGTGTTCATCAATGATGCTGACCAGATATGTAAAGGTTTTCACATCCTCTAAAGCTTCTCCGGTATGTGTAACTCGATTGGTGCATGCTGTATTGCATCGAAGAATCTTGCTTTTCCCTTTGTTTATATTGAGACCTACTGCCGCTGAGATTGCTGCCACACCGTGGTCATCTACAGCATTTGTTGTTGCGTATGTGATAGAATAGCCAGATCACCTGCAAAGTCTAAATCGTCCAGCTATATCCCATCTGTCCATTGTACCCCATGCTTCCCTCAAGATGTTGACGTCGTCATGATCCAGTTGATCACCCGAAGAAAGAGAAAGGGTTTGAATTATATTTTCTGGTTAGCGTTTTTTAGCCAGTTAGTTTTCTACGTGATGGGGTTGCTAACCCCCATGCCCAACCCTCCTCCTTTATCCGGACTGGGGACCGGTAGTTTCCCCCGGAGGAACTACAGGGGGAGTTCCATAGGATCTTAAGTCATTAAGACTTCAATTACTTATCAAAGCCAATCAGTCTAAAAAAAACGTGTCTGTGTGTGACTTACACACATTCATGTAACAATTAACTGATTCATTTGTTGGTTTTTCCTATAAAATTTCACTTATAACAATATTTAATATAAAATTATACTTTCTAATAACCATAACCCAGGTAATAAGCCAATTTATAATCATGTCATTGATTTTTCAAAAAAAAGGAACAGTAACCTAGGCAACAAACACCAACCTAGTCACTAGGTAAGTTTTCTTACATTAATTCAATAAAAATTAAAAAAAAAGACATAATAAACATTATAAAAAAAAGTTATCAATCACCAGCTTTGTGAATATTCCGATTTATATTGATGTATAATACTTTTTGAACATTGATCATCACATTGAAATAAATGTTGTAAATTATCTGTTTTCTTTTTACCCTGTAAATTAGCCCAATTATCTGGTACATTATATAATTCATTTTTATAAATTAAAACACATAATGGTCCAATTAAATTCCATTTTTGTGCTAATTTAACTAAACGATAACAATCAATTGTACCATATCCAATATATGGATGATAAAATAATCCAGCACCATTAACTAACCAACCTTTATCAGTTGGATTAGGTATACGTGAACTCCATGGTAATAAATGTGATATATCACGCCATGTTAATTGAGGACTAGGATATAATGAAAAAAGAAAAAAAATTGTTTTCCATTTCAATAAAGAAAAGAATAAGTAACAAAGACTAAAAATGTAATCATATATATTTTGTATGATATTACATTAATTTAAAGGTAGATTGAATACGATGAGAGGATTTGTAGCTCGTGTGGATGATTTAGATGTAGTTTCGTTCTCTATTGTTTACAATGACAGGTTAAGGGTTAAAAATAACCACTCAAGATCGAGGTCTACAGGACAAGTTGTGAGTTACGTATGGAGAAATTCGAATACTTCACTTCTACCTGACGTTTGTGTTGATGATGTTGTTTAGAAGAACAATGAAAGGTCAACGATCGAACCATCCAGCTCAGAGAACAAAACTCCACCTGAATATTTAGTCTATAACTTTTCATGCTGTTGAACTGAACCATACAGATAGATATAGACTATTTGACAATGATGATATAACTAAAAATCAGTGACAATGTCATATGTACACTAGATCTTTATCCTCCCTTAGATCTTTTACAATTATTTCATAATTTTTGTTCCACAAATGGATTCTTCTTCAGTTTTTCATACTGTCATTGTTATTGTTACTACTTCTACTATTCTGGCATTTCTTTCGATAACGTAACCCTACTAGTGGGTCGTCTTGAACCAATATACATATATATGTACTTGGTTCTGTGGTGTTTATGACTGAACCTATCACATCAGAAATTCAAAGAGTTCATGTACCAGTACTACACGTCAGTCTGATTATCATAAGGTATTTATTCAGTTCAGAGTAATGTAATTTATAATTAATAATATGACGAGTATTTTTCAAGTATTTAACTTGATATATTTCACACCTAACTGCAGATAGTCTGCATAATATACTGTATAAAAAAACCACGAATTGCACTGACTTTAAATTCATCTAAATTTCACCCCACCGCACAAGCAAGTGGCTATCAGGACTCAGTGACCGAGTGGATAACGCGATTGCGTTTGAAGCGAAAGGTATTGGGTTCGAGTCCCAGAGTGTACATCAACTCTGAGATGCAGGTACATCCAGCTGACGAGTTTAAAATAGGACAAAACGCGCATCCTGGATTACTCTGTTAGTCACTATCCATCTTTGCTTACAGTACTGATATCGTTCAGTTATTTATTGGTCTTGTTGGTTCCTTTCACATGTAGTTTTTCTAGGGTTACTGCCTATCAGAAGCTCTGGTAAAGTTAGAGAGTTATGGATGTAGTTACCAAATCTACTCCATAAAAGAACCTTGACAAAAAGAACATCAATCACAAAGACTATATTTCCTTTTTCTGTTTTTTTTTCAACTTACTTTGCTTCTAGTGCTAATGCTAGACATCCTGCGAACATTGGAGCAGCTGCTGAGGTACCCATAAAACTCTTCATACATTTATCATTTTCCATTGTAGTAGGCTATAAAATGAAATTTTTAAATTTGCTAATATAATACTACTAATAATTTGGCAGTGAAAATGATTTCAATACATTATATTGATGGAAATAATTCCAACTGGAGCTCTTCTATGGTTACTAACAGTCTGAATTCTGGATAAACAAGGGGGTTTGGGTTAAATAAAAATACAATAAGAGGATCAAATTTCATTGTACCAGGACGATAAGAATGAACTCATAGAAACATTTGAGTCTAGTGAACCGGTCAACTCATCAAGATAAATCTACCAGTAGTATTTTCAAGAAAATGTTGATTTTTAAACTGTAGAGTATGTACTAACTTAATAAAATGGTTTTCACTTCGTTAACTGGTCATTAATGAACCTATCAAATAAAGAAACATATTTTATTAATTATGAGAAGCGATTTTGTGGAGATTTAGTATTTTTCGTAGTTGAAAGCGTGAGTCAATTGAAGCTAGACCAGTTGAAGTTAGACATTAACACCGTTGGATGCCGGCCGGTTCAGTAGTCTATTGGTTAAGTGCTCTGGCGCGAGACTAATAGGTCCTGTGTTGGAATCTCGCGAGGCGGGATCGTGGATGCGCACTGCTGAGGAGTCCCACAATAGGACGAAACGACCGTTCAGTGCTTCCAGGTTTTCCATGGTGGTCTAGCTTCAATTGACTCATCATCCCAACTATATAAGATTAATTAATTTATTTGGTAGTCTTTTCATTAACAACCTACTATCATTTTTTTTCTATATAGTACTAATATATAATACACACTGTATTATTTAATTACTTATCATCTAATTTTTATAAACTGTACATTCAAATGTAATAAACATATTTATTATTAATACAGAGTCCTTAAAAGGATCAATTTGGAAAGAAGAAGAAGAAGAAGTACCTCTACACTCAATATTGGATTCACATAAATTACAAATCTGAATCAATCATATTGTTGATCAATAAAGTGACTATCATTCAGTTAACCAAGAAGCATGGAAAAAAAGAAGGATTCAATAACTTGTACAATTATGTATATATATGTATATGTATATATTGATGGTTCGAATTAGTAACCTTTACTATTCACTATAGTCCATTAATTGAAACTTTAATTCATAATATGAGCTCATTTGAAATTCAACAATATCACCCACAAATCATCCATCATACATTAAAGTATAATCTAAATATTCATTTAAATATGTATCAAATATTTAGGTATTTCATTTAATTGTCAGCTACTAATGATAAGAATTTCTTATATCAACTATGATATACAATAAAGTTTGATGAATTCATTATTCATTTAAAAAAATAGTAATAATAGTAATGATCGTATGCCTGAACTCCGATTACCAAGATGCGCTATGCTGACTAGTGTAGGGGATGGTTGGAAAAGAATTAGGGGCTGCCAAACCAAAACGTGGCATCAGTGCTTATAGTCACTAGCTTCTAGTTTGAGCCATGTTGGTAGATGCAGACTACCTGGTTGGGGTCCGCGTGACTATCGTAACCAATGGTTGGAGACTCTAGGTGACATGGCTCAGAATCGATTACAATGGCGTAGGTGTATACACTCTTTATCTTCCCTTAAACATTAAGATTAAAATTACTTCATATCTGTCTTTCTTCCTTCCTATACTATATCATTATATACAACCTATCTTTTATATACTACCACCACTAAATTAACTACTTCTATGAATCCGGTGTTCATCTTGTTGTGCTAACGAGGTATGGCAACTTAGACCGACGTATAAGTATGCCTGGTCCTACGTTGTGGCTGACTGACTGACTGACTGAATAGTAATGATAGTGATGGTGATAATAATAATAGTAATGATAATAATGGTAACAATAATAGTAATGATAGTAATAGTAATAATAGTAGTTATGATAATAATAATAGTAAATAGTTTAGTTTGGAATAATTTTCATATGTTGTCTACCGAATTTTTCTTATTATTTGTATTAACTATGTGGACAGGGTGGGTTGGAAAATGCTGGTCAGTGGCCTATGCTCCATTGAGAGTAATAAGCGTAAATAAGTGAGTAAGTATGTGGATTAATTACTTTACTTATTAAAGCTCTTTTTATACTACAAAGAATAATAAACCAATGGGGAGATTCAAAACAAACAATATCAAGTGAATTTAAACTTCACCATATTGCACAAGCAAGCGATTATCAGGACTCAGTGGCCGAGTGGATAACGCGATTGCGTTTGAAGCGAAAGATACTGGGTTCGAGTCCTAGAGTGAACATCAACTCTGAGATGCAGGTATATCCATTTGAAGAGTCCCAACTAGGACGAAACGCGCGTCCTAAATTCCACTGCTAGCCACTACCCATCTTTGCTTATAAATATCTTTGTTCGTCTATTACTAGATAGTGTTCAAATTATATCTTGTTACTGATATTCAACAGTCAATTTTGATCGGTTTTAGGTAGGATAGTGTATCACAATGTAAATATCAATATTGCAATGTAAGGTATACAGTTGAGTATAACAAATACAATTCTACTTCATTTTGCTTTGCTTAAATACGATTTAGTAATTGGAAATAGACTTTAGAGATGTACAAGTGTTTGAATATAATTATCCTAGAAGTATGGCTTATATGCATTGTAATCATTGGTTAAGTGAAGCTAATGTTGAGTATTGGAGTTCAACATCAAAAGTGTATGTTAGCTAACTAGGTTAACAAGTTTTAAATGACTAAGGTCACTGTAATATATTATAGGCACAATTAGTCAGTTGTTCAATTCACTAATCCAAAGTTTAAATAATATCGAGGTCGTAAATGAGGCCCTTGAAGTAATACAAATAAGATACGATAACTTTTTGATTTCTTTTACTTGGAAATATACAATAAATATTAGTTTTTCAGCGACATATCGAACTATGTTCCCTCCTTAAACCTACCCTGGTAATATTAGCTTATATTCCAGAGTGATTAGGTGTCAAATTGTTTCCACATAATTTCATTATTATTATCCTTGTCTATTCTTATCCCCCATTTCCATTCCAGTTGACCTATTATTTTTATATATAAATGTTCTTAACAGGTATATTATGTGTGATCAGATTGTTTGAAATGTATTGCGCTAATATCTCATCTCATCAGCCCCCAAATGCCCTGGTATGGCCGAGAGTGGGGAGAATCCGCTCTCCCTCTCGAAATACTCTCACATGGCCACGCGTATATAGTCTCTACCAGGGAAGTCCTACTCATTGGCTTCTCGTGGCTGGGGTGTCGTTTACGAAATTGAGAGGACGAAAAGCGAATGTCCGGCGCTTTAACCGGGTTGGCGGACACGGAGCGTCCACGTAGGGGAGTTGGAGAACCCTGGCTACAAACCAATGGTGCACATAGGCCCCATGATCCTAAGGGAACAAATGGCGTACGAATCAATTGTTGGTCACCGGCTATCATGGGACTGCGTCTCCTCACGATGCTCCACTGCCTTGTGGATCAGACCTTTAGGTCAAAGGCTCCGTGTGTGGTCCACTAAGAAAACCACCTGCTTCGGTTTGGGCACCTGAGCAGTATCATAGCCCTCACACAAGTTTCATTCGATTTGTGTGGCGCATATATATCTGATGCTCCTTTGTACCAATATTTATGTGTTTAAATAAATAAATAAATAAAAAATATCTCATCACATATTTCTGATAATCTTCGTCTTCTTACTACATTATCGAACTATGTATAATTTATTATAACGGATATGATACTGTATCCCATATTTAAATGTTTAAGATCTATATAAACAGATAATAATCGGCTATAGGCAAGTAGTATTTTCATTTACACTGAATGAATAAGATTTAAAGAAAGTATGTGATAACTGATAAGGAGGGCTCAAGTTATCCAGTTTTCGTTATTACATGTTAGTTGTTGCCTTAGAGATTAATCTTCCTCAACATTTTTAAATTTCAGATTTCGCTCAATAACCCTTGTTTTTATCTGATTGGCTATTGTCCTTCTTAGATTTCTAATTTGCTGTATCTCAAGGCCACTGGCTATTCTTATCATAAAGAGACTGGTTCCATTCCAATTTTTGACTTGTATTGTGAATAAGAGAAACTATCCTGAAAGTTATATCTTCCCTAAACTGTATCAGGGTGAAGATTATAAGCATTGAACTGTCATAGTTTGCCAGTTGTTATTCTGTTGAGCCTATCATAGAACCTATTTGTATTCGAATAATCTCTATCGTTTACAAGTAACAGTTACCGTAAGTTTAAGTGAAAATCAAATTTATAATCATTTTTATTGATATTTAACAATAACACGAATAAAAGACAAGAATTCTTTATTATAATTATAATTATTATTTACCAAAATATTCATATCAGACAATTCAGGTGATCCACCAACAGGAACTGATACACGAATTGCAGAACAAGGTTCTGAATACATAGTTTTTTGACCAAGATTATCTATTGCTGAAACAGCAATTACATCTGGTGAACTGACAAATCCATCAGCACCACAACTGTCACCAAATAAACCACCATTTCCAGAAGCAAAAATATAAATTGAACCTAAACCATTTCGACCCTTTCAAAAGTGTAGGAAATCAAATGAGTAAACTCTAAGAATAGTTTTTTTACTACAATTTAACATTATTATAAGATTAGGAATAGATTTATAAATAATAACATTATGATAATGATACTTATTATTAATTACTGTTATTGACTGACATTATGAACCAATCTAAGTCAGACCACCATTGTAAACCTGTAAGCACTGGATGGTCGTTTCGTCCTAGTGTGAGATTCCTCAGAAATGCACGCCCACGATCCCGCACACGGGGTCCAAACTTAGGACGTTTGGTCTCGCTCATGGAAGCTTAACCTGTAGACCACTGAACTTTCCGGCATCCAACGGTGCTAATGTCTAACTTCAATCAATTCACGATATTGTACAACCATCTTCACCTGTGTTAGGTTGTAGTGAACAGAACACTGGTTGGGGACAATCGTATGTATTTAAGCAAAGATTACAGACTATCTCAGTAAATTCTGATAACCAAACAATGAACAGTCAATTTGCAAATTAACAACCAATTGTTTCAATCTTCACAGTTTCTTCTCTAATTCCATTGTTCGTGCATTTTCCAAACGATTGCGCTTCATTTCAGTTCTTTCCTCATCAGTCTACTGCCAAAATACATTCTATGTCTGACTCACACCATATACTACTTATATGGATATAAGTAGACCGCACCACAAGGTGAGTAACTGCCTTACACCTAATGTCACAGCTTCTCAATAAAACTTCAATAATTATCTTCGAAGCTCTTTATCAGTGAAGAAATGGTAATTGTCAGTAAGATTCATGATTTTGATGAAATTTAACAACCTTCACAACCCTTTACTGTTACTAACTTACTATGTGGTATAGACTTGTTTAGTTGACTTAGAGTCAAGCTTTAGGTTCGAGTACTAGAAATACTAATCGGTTAATCAAACTCATGTAGGCTAAGTAGGGTTTGGACCTTCAACTAAGGGGTTGTAAGTTGAACGGCTTAACAACTAAACCACCGATCAATGATAATAGTAGTCCTGTTTATTACTAAACTATTCAGTACTGTAACAAATTCATGTGTTATATGGATTAAAATCATGAATAGTCATAGGAAATATGTATTATAACGTTTTCAACAATGCTAAGCGGTTATTTAACTTCATTTTCAATCATTTTCCTCAATGCTTTCTTCTTTTATAACATAGCATACCTAAAGTACTGTAATATTTACATATTTGAATAATAGGATCTCAAGATAGGATAACAAGATAAATAAACTGCAGTCAATAAGACATTGGAAATGGATCGGATATACATCAAGGAAATCATCAAACTGCATCACGAGGCAAGCCTTAACTTAGAATCCGGTAGGGAAGCGTAAAACAAGAAGACCAAAGAACACATTACTCTGGGAAATAGACGAAGATATGAAAAGGATGGATAACAACTGGAAAGAATTGCCCAGGACAGAGTTGGATGGAGAATGATGGTGGGCGGCCTATGCTCCTCCACGAGGGGTAACAGGCGTATGAATTTAGATTAAACAGTCTAAAGTTATTATGCTTAACACTAAACTTGAAAGTTTTAATTTCAGTTTTCTGTATAATTTTGACTATTCAGAAATGATAAATTCTCAATCAAGAAAGAAATTTTTGTTCAGTACTATAAATTTTTCATGTGTTATCCAATTAGTAGTGTCAATTCGTAGTGAAATATGCCTTCGAAGAAAACGATGTCGTTATAAATCTTTTTATTTTAATTAACTGTTTATTATTTAATAGTTATAATTCTTTAACTGATAGGAAGAAGCAAAAATGGTTCAGAATAAGCAAAGATGGATAGTGGCAAGCAGTGGAATCCAGGATGCTCGTTTCGTCCTAGTTGGGACTCGTCAGCTGGATGTAGCTGCATCTCAGAGTTGATGTTCACTCTGGGACTCGAACCCAATACCTTTCGCTTCAAACGCTATCGCGTTCTCCACTCAGCTACTGAGTCGTGATAGCCACTTGCTTATGCAATGGGGTGAAGTTTAAATTCACTTAGTATTGTTTGTTTTGAATTTTCTCATTGATGTTTTTTTAGGACTGCAACTGGTCAGTCTCTAATTGGTATATGTGCATACTGTAGGTATTGCCTCGATATTGTCTTAATTCACAAGCATGGTAAACAAAGATGGATAGTGGCTAGCAGTGGAATCCAGGACGTGCAGTCCTAAAACATCAATGAGAAGATTCAAAACAAATAATACCAAGTGAATTTAACGTTCAGAATAGTTGTTACAAGTAAAATTCTTCTCCACTTTCATTGCACAGGAAATGATTGATAATTCATTCTATTTCTATGAGTTTGCTCTTCAATGAATATAAGTGTAGCCTTAAATAAATAAAGCTATCTGAGATAATCATCGTAGATTGTGACATAGCTTTAACTACAAGCCTACCAGTTTGATAGACAATTCTCTTTTGAATAAATTAAAAGACTCAACTATTGATTTATCCATCCTTATAGCTAAGAAGAATATTCGAATACCATGTAATCATGAATAACTTGCTACTTTGGAAGAGAAAAAACTTGAAACGAATACATGAGATGAGTAACATTGAGGACATATGTATACATATAAATTAAAACTGTTACCTTTGCTAAACCATAACTTAATGAATCTTTTGTATATTTATGTGGTAGATCCATTGTAATACCATCATCAGATGGTCCCCATGATGAACAAAATATATTGATTAATTCAACTTTATACGATAAACCTCTAGCTTCTACAAAATCTGTAACTGGTCCAGTTAATATACGTATACCTAAGAGAAAGTAGTAGGAAACAAAAAAGGAAAACTGTATTGTCATACTGGATGATAAAAACCGTTATATCGTTTACATCACCGACTAATCTTAATCAGATAACGATTGAAAACCAGGAATCACTAGGCAGCTACGTGAAACTTCTCACGGGTGCATATCCATAGTCCTACATTCGTGAATAGAGTGGATAATTATCAGGTGAGTATTAACCTTTAGGCCATTAAATTTTATGTTAGACGGTTGACATTCATAACTTTAGTCAGTTTTGTGAATTTGTACACCACCGTCATCAGCGAACTAAGACTCTACCAGTCCAAAACTGAATAAACAACGTAAGTACTTTTCTTAATGGTATTTCAATTTATTGATTTCAATTTTATATCATTTTATATCCATCAAACAACGTTCGTATACTTATATATCCCGAAGAGAATTATGAATGGTAACTATAAGGACTATTTTATGGACCAATGTGATGTGTATATTTCCTATTGTATAATTTTTAAGTAACTAAACTAGTCGTATTCGTGTTCCTTTTATTATAAGCTTTATTTTGATCTATAGGCTATTATTATACGATTTACCATTCTTGAGTTATCCCTAGTTCATTAATTACTGTTCCCCCCTATTCAAAGCCATATTTGACCAAATCATGTACAAATGTTATTTTGTATTTTATAGTACGATGTGGTCAGTTTGGTTGACATATAAACCCGGCATGTTTGAGAATAATGATTCATATTACAGAGGCTGTTATTGGTGTTCTGGTTTGGCAAGGCAGAAAGCAGGAATGATAAGTACTCAAGATTACTCATCCGGCTTTTGTGTATCATAGGGCGATCGATAAATCAATGCTTTCAAATTGGCGGTCTTATAACGTCATATATATCACTGGGCTGGAACGCACGCACCCAATCGGTATAACAACTGGCGATGGACACGCACACACGTACTCGCACTCGTTATAACATACTAAATATAATAATGTAATATAATATGTAATAATGTGTAATGGAATGTGGCACATATCTTACTGATTAAAGAATTAACATCAAAAAGCATAAACACCATTGTTTAATTGTAACTTACCTCCCAATTTAGTTTTTGGTGCAACACCATGAGAACAAAAACTGTTATTCATTACTGCGCCAGCAAGACCGGCACATCTTGTCCCATGTCTAAAAGATGTAATATATATATATAGTTATTAAGTAACTAAAATGAATAATTATATCATTATTACTACATAGGTCTACAAATTTGTAGTATAATTACCTGGTTTTCTCCAAAACTGTGTTTCAGTCCATCAAAACGTTATGTCAATTAGACTTAAGGTTTTGAATCGTCTTTATTGGAAATAAATAATAGAAACACTAAAATAACTAATCAAATATTAACTTGACAGCTGTTTACGCAAAACACTTAACATCCATTGGCCGGATACTATCAGCAACAGCGTTTTATGGGACGAGACAAACCATCTTCCAGCTGAAGAGGAAATTAGGAAAAGACGTTGGTAGTGGATCGGACATACATTAAGGAAATCACCAATGTGCATTACAAGACAATCCCTAAACTGGAATACGGAAGGGAAGCGGAAAAGTGGAAGGCCAAAGAACACATTACTCTGGGAAATAGAAGAAGATATGAAAAGGATGGATAACAACTGTAAAGAACTGGAAAGGAAGGCTCTAGACAGAGTTGGATGGAGAATGCTTGTGAGCGGCCTATGCTCTTCGACGAGGGGTAACAGGCGTAAGTAAGTAAGTAAATATTACTCTTATCACTACGTGAAAATTGGTCAGTCGATGAAGATTTGTGCAAATATGAATAAATTCACACGGTTTATCGTATCACTGAATGTAACGAATTACAAAATCGACAGAGATTTCTCAGCAGTTAGTAAAATGAAGAATGAGAGACTGTGAGAAACTACATTTTAAATTCTGACTCAGTGGTTAAGTTATATAAGGTGCTCCTTGCCAAAAGGAAACTAAAGATCTTCATCTTAATTCGGTATATGATTCCGGATGGACATCATTGAAACACAGAAATATGGAATGGAACAGTCCTACAATATTCACTGATTATCAATTATTACTATTAGTTTGTGATAAGAACAGTCACTAAAATAGTGAAAGCTACACTTACCCATCATTCTCAGGAATAATTTTGCTTGGTCCACGTGGACTTAACCCATTCTGTTCCGGTCTATCCATATTAACAGATATTGTCTCATCATAATTGTCTTGTAAATCGGGATGACTTGTATCTAATCCATCATCTAATACAACAACATTTGTTCCTCTACCAGTGACATTCTCCAAGAATATTGGATATAAATTAATATCAAGTCCAATTAAAGGACTAACACTACTACCATCATTGAGCTGTAATTTAAAAAAATTGTGTATTAAGTATATATAGATTATACAAAATTGTTGTAATAAATTTCAAAAAAAACTCCGCCTGTAGCTCTTCTAGAGTTACTGCCGGCCCCAAGCCTAGGTAAAGGAGGAGGTTTGGGCATGGAGTTAGCGACCTCATCCCATAGAAAAACTAACTCGCTAAAAAACGCTAACCAGAAAATAATAAAGATTTCAAAATCTGATTTTTCATGAAGTAATTTTTTACGTAACAAGAAATGGATATTGATTAACACCAATAGTTGATAATGTTGCATAGTTGACTCGATATTACTGTGAACTTCATGGGAGTTTTAATGGAAATAGATAACCGATGAAACGTTTTGAACCTAGCTTTCGTGTCAATGTATAACCACGAGTCATTAACCCGTTTTATCAAGATTGTATTTTAAATTAACTGATTTAGAATTTGTTAACAATAGTGGCTTTCAGTTCATTAGTTAGTTAGTTAGCTCTCCAGATAGATAAATTGAAAGAAAGATAGATAGTTGTGATGCCTGTATACAACAATAAATCCTATGTACATTATTTTACTCTTATTACGAATCCGAAATGCTTTACCTTTGACAGTGTTCACAGAGTTCTATCTGACTTGAATGCTGGTCTATACGTGGCTATTGGAGTACAGATTTGACAGTTTTCTGTATTTTCATTGTTGAAATCATGGGTCAATTGAAGCTAGACCACCATCGAAAACCTGGAAGCACTGGACAGCCGTTTCGTCCTATTATGGGACTCCTGAGGATTGCGCATCCACGATCCCGCCTCACGAGATTCGAACCCAGGACCTACCAGTCTCGAGCCGTAGCCCTTAACCGACAGACCACTGAGCCGGCATACAATTCTCCACAAAACCCCCTCTGAGTTTTCTGTATTACTAGTTAGCGTATCAAATTCAATTACATGTAATTGCCATAGTAGTTCGATCATATATTAAAACTGTCTTTCTGAAAAAATGGTCTATACATAACATATAAATACATCCAATAGGACGAAATGACAGCCCAGTGCTTCCAGGTTTTCCATGGTGGTCTAGCTCCAATTGACTCATGCTTTCAACTATAAAATTATTGAAATCTCCATAAAACCCCCTTCTGAAAATACATCCAACTTATAATCACTTCAATTGATAGAGAAGATATTAAAATTTTCCATGAATTGAGTTACTTTCTAATGATCGAAAAGATACTGACCTCGATAAGCGTTTAAAGAAACATACAATTACCCATTCTTTTCTGATTTATATGAATAATAGTTACAGTTGTCAAACTATGTATTCAGCAAATTATTATTATCCCTTGGCCCTAGATTATGTGACTACGGGGTAGAATAGATCAACTAGATACGGACATAGAGTTTGAAAATTCATTTTCACAAACGGCAGATTTAGTCCCCATCCTACTTGATGAACTTACTAGATTTAAGACCACGTTGGTTGACATCTGCCAACAATCCAGAAATAGTACATATACCATGAAATTCCTACTTACCAAACAACAATGAGGTGCTTTACATAACTTTATGAAAGATAACGATAATCATAAGCAAACCAGACAAAGGAAGAGGCCTAGTTCTAATGAAAACAAATGATTACATCGATTAAATGAACTAATTTTCGAATGATTCTACCAAATTTCAAAAATAAACAACGTAAAGGACTTTAATATGAAAACAGAGATACAACTGACTAATTTGCATCAAGAATTTAATATAATGTGATAATTACTCCAACCGTTCATGATTGAATGAAACCCGGTGCATCGAACATACCACAACCCTATGATTTACCAAAAGTCCACTAATCTGTACTTCTCCTTTGTCCAGTTTTACACATACATAATTCCCCAAAAAATAAAAATTCAAAGTGATTAGTTTGAATCTCAGATCTTCTGCACAAATTAGTAGTTAACAGAAGCTTTGGAGACGTTTACTGTTTTATTTTCAAGGTTAAACATGTAAGCTTGAATAGGAAACGGTTGATACTGCCATAAGTCACTTTTTTATTTACTAATGTACCATTAACTAAGACAATTGACTATGTGTGTCATCAACTACTTAAAAATAGATTAATATTGAAATTTACAAGGTTCATTTCAAAGTGTGTTTTGAAATTTACAACGAACGCTCAGTTTGTCTTTACTAACATATATTGTTGACAAGTTGGTGGAACAGCGACTGATTCACCCCTCAGTTCTATCATTGACGTTTTTTTCCTGCAAAACTAGAAAATAAACTTCTCAAAGAGGTTATTGATAAGCTTGACTTTTATTGTCGTTACTTTCATTATGGTTGATCATAACATTGGAAGATAAGAACTCTTAGATCAATTTGATAATATACACTAAACAATTGGATTTATGTATGAGGAGGGACTTGATAACAAATTACGTTCCCTTGATGCTTTGTTAAACAGAAAACAAAGTGGTTCTCTCAGTAGAAGTGCGTATAGAAAAAAATTCTTTAGTCATGACACATTTCTTCAGCTTTGTACCCATTCTTTACAACAGAAGCCTAGTTAGGTGTCTTGAAAATAGAGCTGGAAAGATATGCTTAGACGTTACTATAAACAAGAAAGATTCAGAACAGATTTCATATTCAGATTTGTGCAATAAGGACAGAAGATTTGTGGCCTATGTTAATCCCTTTCTAGTAAGCTTCTGCAAGTGTCCACTCTTCTCATGAATGAGTCAATTGAAAGTGTGGACAACACTACCTCGGGTAACAGGCTCCAGCAATTGATGAACTAAAGCAAGTTCATAATATAATGTTTGAAATGGGTTACCCAGAACATTGTATTTTTAATGTTTAAATGGAAAAATAATGTTGTTCACTTATATATCTTTTTCTAATTTACTAAATGGGGACTTTTAAAATTCTCCTCCGCAAACAATACGATGTGATGTCTATCGAAATAAATCAGTGAATTTACAAAAAAATTACTTCAATAAACTTACGTACTGCCATACATAGTGTGCTGCTGGATCATTTACATTTACAGCAGTTCTAATTTTTTTGGCATATTCGATGTATTGTCGATTGTATTCGGCATCAGCCTGTTTCAAAAAAATAAGTATATAAGAATGATAGTCAATGAATTAGTTATGCATATGTTATGCGTAATGCACAATTAAAAAGGGATAACATTCTATGATAGATTTTTGTGTGTTACAATGAATAGTTCCTACTAATCTTAAGCTTATCGTTCGTCACAACACATAATTTCCAGAAAAATACATGGGTACGATGACTAGCTTCCCTTGGTAGAGAGTGAGACTCAATGGATTGTTTGGAAGAGTTTACACAGATTTCTTCATCGTATATAAGATCAACATTATGACTATGTTTCTGTTTTGTGATGCCTTCACCATCTAATCGGTGTACCAGCTGACAGTTCGAAACTTTGAAACAATTAGAATATAATCGAAAACGATTTTACTGCGCTTTAATAATTCAGTAGTTGTCAAAATACTCGCATCTTATCTATGTTTTAGAAAAAGACTAAAGTCAGTCTGTCACTATTATAAAAGGTTCAATTCAATTTCTTCGGTAAAAATTTCCATTCAGTAACTCTCTTCTTCAGTTTATTTTGGTACATGTCATCTCTTGGCCAATGTGTTGAATATTCTAGTGAATTCTTAACAAATCACGCGTGAAACTGATAGGTCCTGGGTTCGAATCTCGCGAGTCGGGATCGTTGATGCGCACTGCTGAGGAATCCCACAATAGGATAAAACGGCTGTCCAGTGCATCCAGGTTTTCCATGGTGGTTTATCTTCAAGTGATTCATGATCTCAACTATTAAAATTAGAATTTGTAAAGGTGAACAAATTTCCTACTTACTTATAAACATATTTAAGTAGTATAAATTGTTTTAGGACAAATTATTCGGATAGGTTTTTCTCATAGGCAGATGAAGTAAATATTGTTTATTATCAAAAACTGACTGATGACTACCATATTAAAACATGACAAGAAATATATATAATAACTAAATATAGCTTAACTGAATAACAACACTTGGCGAATAAACATGTTTTGAATGAATTAACGTTTTACAGGACAAGAAATTTCTTAGTTTAAACCTTTTGAAATCAGAACCACTCTATTTATTTCCATCTTCTAAAAAGAGTCAAATTTCTCTGAGGAGAAACAATGAAAACAGTGTAATAGCTTCGTTGTTTTTCTTTCGTTTTCAGTTAAACCATTTTATGATGTTTTTTTATATAGTTCAGATCACGAGTCTTTTGAAGCTAGACCAGCATGGAAAACCTGGAAGCACTGCTTGATGGCCGTTTTGTTCTATTGTGAGACTCCTCAGCAGTGTGCATCCACCATCCCGCTGAGCAAGATTCCAACCCATGACCTATTAGTCTCACGCGCGAGCACTTAACCGATAGACCACTGAATCGGTCTGCATCCAACGATGTTAATGTCTAACATCAACCAGTCCACGAAATCGAGCAATCATTCACCAATGTCTTCAGTGAGTTGATATCTCCAAATAGACCTGTTTGAACTCCACTGGTTACTGTTTCTCACTAGAACTCCATGAAATACCTCATAGAGTCAGTCACTAGTGAGCATATGATGATCAAACTTTTGTTAAGATTTACGCACATGTCAAATATTGAACACTGGGAAAACGGACAACATTTAAACAAAATGTTAGTTTATATCTCTTTTAATTCTAAAACTTCTAGGTTGAGTTCAAACTCATTGTTTTTGAGATTTTTTCTATTTAGATTCAATACCTTTAAATAAAATAGTACAGTAAGCTTACGATAAACTATGAGTTAAAATGGTAAACATGTAGGTCTGTACAGATAAACATTCTTTTTTCAGTGATCAATAAAAACGCAACAGTTAGTATATTCTATCATTTTGTTCTTTTAGTTTTGGATCATTGGAAATATACTTTACTCATTTGAAGCTATCGATAGGTTACTATAATCCATGCTAAGTTATCGGATAACAAATGTTAATAAAAGTTAGATGCTGAAATCGAAATTATGCCCTCGTATTTAACATTTACCATTAGATGAATGAAACCTTGTTAGTTATTGCATACATATTGAATACTGAGGATCAACTAAACTAAACATTCATGGTTACATATTCTGCTCTTTTACATTATTTATCATGATATCTATATTTTTATCAAAAAGTACTAACAACATTTGAACGTTTCTAAGTTGATTTTTAAATGTGTTACTTAAGACCTAGTAACGAAATTTTAAACTTTGAGCATTTCATATACTCTGCGACTCCTTAAGAAACACAAACAACAGTGGCTTCATAATTTGACAGAAAAGTCTTAGATTTCAACCTGGTTTCACCTCATTCGGATTAGATAACTAGCTAACGAGTATAACTAAATTGTTGGCTCATTGATGAAGGCGTTTGACTTTTAGCTATTGAATAATAGGATGGGACATCACTCTATCTCTTTCTCTTTGAACAACTGAATAGTATGACTATGACTCTCTCTTGAAATTTGGTTCGAAAAAAATATACTAGTCTCTACCTGACATTGATTTGTCTTACGTTTCTAAGCCCCTAAAGTGTAAATTCGTATTTTATATAATAAACGTCTAGTCTAACTTCGATTAATCTACTATGTCTAAACATAAACGCCGTTGGATGCAGGTTCAGTGGTCTGGAGGTTAAGCGTTAGAACGAGAGGCCGAAGTCCCTGCGTTCGAATTTCACGTGCGGGATCGTTTATGTGCACTTTTAAGAAGTCTCATTTCAGGAAGAAATGGCCATCTAGTGCTTCTAGGTTTCCTATTGTGATCTTATTTAGATCAGTTTATTATCTCAATTATTTTGAATTATTTTTTCTGGTAAGCGTTTTTTTAGCGAGTTGGTTTTTCTACGGGATGGGGTCTCTAACCCCATGCCCAACCCTCCTCCTTAACCCGGGCTTGGGACCGGCAGTAACTCTAGAAGAGCTACAGGCGTTTTATAGCGTGGACAGGAGAACATTATGGAAACTTCTTCGACAATATGGAGTTCCTAAAAAGATTGTCAACATTATCCAAAACTCATACGATGGACTACAGTGCAAAGTCATGCATAGATGAGAGCTGACAGATGCATTTCCAGTAAGGACCGGAGTCAGACAAGGCTGTCTACTCTCCCCATTCCTCTTCCTTCTAGTGATTGACTGGATTATGAAGACTTCGACATCTGACGAGAAATACGGAATACAATGGACTTTTCAGAATCAATTAGATGATTTGGACTTCGCAGATGACCTAGCCCTCCTCTCTCATACACACGAACAAATGCAGATGAAGACAGCAAATGTAGCAGCAGCCTCCACATCGATAGGCCTCCACATTCACAAAGGAAAAAGCAAGATGCTCAAATGCAACACGGAGAACACCAACCCAATCACACTTGATGGCGAAACTCTGGAAGAGGTGTAAACATTCACATACCTGGGAAGCATCATTGATAAACGAGGAGGATCGGATGCAGATGTAAAGGCGAGGATTGGCAAAGCTGGTTAGCGGCCTATGCTCCTCGACGAAGGCGTAAGTAAGTAAGTAATGATTTCAATTACTTCTCATAAAAGATTTCGAATTTTTTTACTGTCATATATCAAATGTTTTGATCTATCCATTCAATATTAAATGAATAGAGTTCTATATTTTCTTTGCAAGAACTATTCTCATCATTTTAATGTGATAGGTAACTAAATTAAGATAACAAGTGACCTGAATCTATAATGAATGATATGAATCTGACACTAAAGATTAATTGATATTATCCACCATCATTATTATTACCCGCATATAAGAGTTTTTAACTATTTTCTACTGACTATTCGTATAAAAATTATCAATAATCATACAACTTTTTGATAAGGATTCCTGAAGAGATTGTCAAGTTTTATATTTTACTTTATGGATTAATCTTCGGAAAACTCTGTAGATCAGGAGGCATTGAATAGATATTACCTGCTTGTTTAAGACTACTTATCGAGAATTGAACCCATGAACTTCAGGTGAAGTCTCTGATTTGTACTCCTAAAGAATGGTTGTCTAACTAAGATCAAACTATACTGAAATATATGGAAGAATCTAGTTATTAGTAAGATGTTATAAGTATTGATTGTTGATCCTGTTATATTGGATTGTTATTTCATTGAATTTCTCTTTCAAGAAGGATTTTTGTACAATATCTATTCAATGTTCAGTTATCTGTCAGTGATATGCATTTTTATATGATCAGAATGGAGTTAGTGGAGATTGTAGTAATTTTAATAGTTGAATTCCGCCTCTAACCACAATCTCATAAAACTTATTGCAAACTGGCTATGTCAAAACAATATGCACATTATTCACATATACCAATCGACACCAACAAATATTCAATCCTGTATATCAATTACAGAATCATTCAAACTTTTACTCATCATATAGATATAACACAATAACATTTTACTTATCAATGGTACAATGAGATGAAAATGAGATGAAATTAATGAATTTAAACAGTAGAGCAACATTTTGATGCAGATTTGTTCTGTGATCTGGATGGTTTGTTCGTGGAGCTTTCATCGTCCTTCTGAACGACATCATCAGCACAAACTTCGAGTAGAACAACTTTGATGCAACTAGTAGACATGTATCTCCATGATTATTCTTATTTTGTTAACGGATATTATTATAATGTTTGAGTGTAAAAGAACAAATCATAAGAATTTCTGTTCGGATGATAGATGAAACTATTCAGCTCATAAAAGCTAATTGATTTAAACTCCAATAAACAATTTGCTATTGAAATAGATATGAGATGGAATAGATGATAACAGGAAAAGTAGACGTGCTGAACATGTAAAACAGGGTGTTATTTTTACAATTTACAGACTGATACATTAATTTTATATGGTTGAGATCATGAGTCAATTGAAGTCAGACAGACATGGAAAACATGGAAGCACTAGACGACCGTTTTGTCTTATTGTGGGACTCCTCAGAAGTGCCCATCCACGATCCCTCCTCTCGAGATTCCAACTCAGGACCTATCAGTCTTGCGCGCAAGCATTTAACCTCGAGACCATTGAACCGGCCTACATCCAGCGGTGTTAATATCTAACTCTAACCAATCCACGAAGTCGAGCAACCATCCACAATTGTAGACAGTGAGTTACTATTTCACAACAGACTTGGTTGAACTCCATCGGTCACTGCTTCTCACTAGAACTCTAGGAAATACCTCATGGGGCCAGTCACTAGTGAGCATATGATTATTACCAGAAGGGGGTTTTATGGAAATTTTAGTAATTTCATATAGTCGTGGATGCTCACTCCTGAAGAGTCCCACAATAAGACGAAAGGGCCATCCGGTACATCCAGGTTTTCCTTAGTAGTTTAGCTTTAATTAACTCATGATTTCAACTATATAAAATTACTAAAATCTTCATAAAACCCCCTTTGTGATAATGATACATTAATTGTTTTTTTTTCTTCTTTTTTAACTTAACATTCAAATGCTCCAAAAAGAAGGCGTCTAGGTACAGATCTAAACAACAACAAAAATAGATTAGTGCTTTTTGAACAAACAAACGTGAACAATACCCATAAATTATAAATAAAATAAAACAAAAACTTAGGATCGATATTTTGTGTTCACAACTCAACAAATTTATGTTTATTTTTATTTATTTTGTAGGATACCTATTTCTTTCTTACTGAACAAAGTATATAGATAGTTATTTACCTAGCGGTTATGTCAATTTTTGATTATATAACCATCAACAAATGATTCTTGGCAGTAAATCTTTATTGATTCGTCATTGATATTGTATGTGAGAATGTATTTTTATCAACAAGAATTGTGTAATATATACCTGCTTGTGTTCACTTTGCCGACACCTTTCTTTTGATCATTTAAGTAGTTGATAATATTCCATGTCGATTTTCGACAATAATATTTTATCTATGAATATCCGGTGAAGATTTATGAATGGTAACTTCGAGAACTATCTCTGGATCAATATGATATAAATATTTCCTATTGTATAATTTTTAAGTAACCAAAGTATCCATATTCGTGTCCCTCTTATTATAAGCTTTATTTCGACCTATAGACTACTATTATACGATTTACCATTCTTGAGTTATCCCCAGTCTATTGATTACTGTTCCCCCCTATTCACAGCCATATTTGACCAAAACTTGTACAAATGTTATTTTGTATTTTATAGTACGATGTGGTCTGTTTGTTTGGTATATAAACCCATTATGTTTGAAAACAATGATTCATATTGCAGAGGCTGCTGTTGGTGTTCTGGACATAACTGGTTGGGCTAGGTAGAAAGCAGGACTGACAAGTAATCGAGACTGCTTATACACCTTTGTGTATCATTGGCGATCAACAAATTCACTGATCTCTAATTAGTGGTCGTATAAAGTTCATATAATAACTGGGCACTCAAGCACACGATATAACAGGAATGGTTTATTTTTAATTTAACCGGCCAGTTATAAACCAAGTAGGGTTTAGTATAAATGCATGTCAGCTCACTCTATCGCACAGGATATTCGAGGATGAAGCTGACTCATAGAAGGAGTGAGAAATAAAAAAGGTTAATCCTTAAGTTGTTTTTTGCTTCCACCATTCTCTTCTTTCTAGTGATACTAGTAATTTCTTTGAAACATATTTAGCTAATACAGCAAAACCTATTCACAAAACGGTTGCATATGACTATTCTTCAAGCTTACACTTAAAAGTCAATAAAACTTTAAATATCAATCTAGTTTACTTTTTGGTCATCAGAAGATGTAATGTTTTGTGATGATATGAGAATTGAGGGTTTAGTAAGTTACCATACATTTTTTTAACACCCATGAAATTGATCTTTCACCCCATAATACCCGTTTTGTATTTTAAACACATCTACTTTTCCTGTTATCATCTATTCCATCTCATATCTATTTCAATAGCAAATTGTTTATTGGAGTTTAAATCAATTAGCTTTTATGAGCTGAATAGTTTCATCTATCATCCGAACAGAAATTCTTATGATTTGTTCTTTTACACTCAAACATTATAATAATATCCGTTAACAAAATAAGAATAATCATGGAGATACATGTCTACTAGTTGCATCAAAGTTGTTCTACTCGAAGTTTGTGCTGATGATGTCGTTCAGAAGGACGATGAAAGCTCCACGAACAAACCATCCAGATCACAGAACAAAACTGCATCAAAATGTTGCTCTACTGTTTAAATTCAATAATTTCATCTCATTTTCATCTCATTGTACCATTGATAAGTAAAATGTTATTGTGTTATATCTATATGATGAGTAAAAGTTTGAATGATTCTGTAATTGATATACAGGATTGAACATTTGTTGGTGTCGATTGGTATATGTGAATAATGTGTATATTTTTTGACATGTCCATTATGTTATAAGTTATATAATACAGATAGATCGTGGTTAGAGGTGGAATGTAAGATGTCTTTGTCATCCGATTCAGTACCCATAGGTTAGATATACCTGGATTACAGTGTTTATATCCACATTACTATTTGTATCAATTATCTGTCATATCAAACGTTAACATGTTATCTACTGAGAAACTGAGCTTAGATGGCTGACAGCTACTGAAATAGTTGATTTTTAGAAACGTTCTTGCTAAACGATTTAATGTGTAAATATCAATCAATGATATAGCTGAAATATGAAAAAATTCCTTTGAATAATTTGCCTCTATGGATTTAAATAACATTACTCCATAGTACTGCTAATAAAATACCGGCAAGAGATCCATGGTTCACAATACGTAGTGTAATACTGAATATAAGAAAGAAATCATGTACAGTATACTTCATTTAACGGTTCATTCTGTTTATATGATTTCATTGACATTATGATGTTAAACATGTCGTATACTAATTTTTTAAAACAGTCCTCATTACAAGCAAAGATGGATAGTGGCTAGCTATGGAATCCAGGACGCGCGTTTGGTTCTATTTGGGACTCGTCAGCTGCATGTACATGCATCTCAGAGATGGTGTTCACTCTGGGACTCAAGCCCAGTATCATTTGCTCTAAACAGCATTGCGTTATCCACTCAACTACTGAGTCCTGATAGCCACTTGCCTTTGCAATGGATAACGCGATGGAGTTTGAAGCGAATGGCACTGGGTTCGAGTTCCAGAGTGAACATCAACTTTGAGATGCAGGTACATTCAGCTGACGTATCCCAAATAGAACGAAACGCGTTTTGGATTCCATCGCTAACCACTATCCATCTTTGTTTACAATGCTTGTTAATGAAGGCTATATCGAGGCAATCAGCACAATATGCACATATGCCAACAAGAGAGTGATCAATTGCAGTCCTAAACGTCAATGGGAAAATTCAAACAAACCATACCAAGTGAATTTAGTCCTCATTACGATAAAAAAAAATACCACTTTATGTGCATGAATAAAATTTTATTCCTATACAGGAGTTTTGTAAAGATTATAGGATTTTGTAATTAACGTCACAAACAGATCTAGTGCTTTCTAGTTTCCCGTGGTTGTTTAACTAAGATTGCTTCTCCATATTAACTACAAATTTAAACTATCTTCACAAATACACCATACTCTTAATGATCATACTGCCACTAGCAAGTAATTTTGAAATAATTGTTGACGCCCTGATGAGAAGCCGCATTGAGAGGATTTCAAACATCTCAAGTGTGATTTAGTTGCTCATTAATGGCATTAGAAGATACTTAGGCAGTATTTCAAACCGATTGAAGATAAACATGACAACTATTGGATGTCAGCCCGGTGGTTGGGAGGCTATGCGTTGACCAAGAGACTTTAACATCCTGGTTTTAATCCACCCTGGTGAGGCTGTGGACGCATACTAGTGACGAATGCTATACTAGAACAAACCAGAAGTTCTGTGCTTCTTCATCTTCCGCAGTTGTTTAACTAAGGTGTTAACTACAAAATTTTACTATGAACAACTACTCATTATACTCGGTGTGTATAATTCAACTCTGAAAGTGTAAACTCTACAGTTCAAAATTACACTCTAAAGGGTATGTACATGTACATTCTGAAAAGATTTTTGGTTCTTACCTCAGTCACCATTTCTTTCGGTAATGGAGTCTTTTTCAAACTTCCAGCTACATTTGCATCGAATTGAGAATTATATATGGTGAAACGTTTTTCAACGTTTAGAATCTTGAGTGGTTTAATTTCTTGAATCTACCAATTCAAAAAGAAAAACTATTAATTATTATTTATAGGTAAACTAATAAATGTGATTTTATATAGTTGAGATCATGAGTCATTTGAAGCTAGACCAGCATGGAAAACATGAAAGCATTGGACGGCCGTTTCGTCCCATCGTGGGACTCCTCAACAGTGGGTTGGAATCTCGTGAATTTAAACTTCACCCCATTGCACAAGCAAGTGGCTATTAGGACTCAGTGGCCGGGTGGATAACTCGAGGGCGTTTGAAGCTAAAGGTACTGGGTTGGAGTCCCAGAGTGAACATCAATTCTGAAATGCAGGTATGTCCAGCTGACGAGTCACAAATAGGACGAAACGCGCATCCTGGATTTCACTGCTAGCCACTATCCATATTTGCTTACCAATTTAACTTATTATTACAGAAAAACATTAAAAGAAAAGAATTATTCAACAGTTGAATAAATAGGTATGCTTATTTAAATAGAATATTATTAGCAAAGATGGTTAGTGGCTAGCAGTGGAATCAAGGATGCGCGCTTCGTCTTATTTAGGACTCGTCAGCTGGATGTACCTGCATCTCAGAGAGAATATTATTAAATTTTGTTTATCTATTGACGTTTAGTAAACATTGAACTATATACACTATATACTGAATCAGTATACAGTATGTTGATATTTTTAAACTAAATATCATGCTGTGTATTTTTTTTAAATTTGCAACCTAAATGGGTTCCATTTATAAAAATAATATAATGATACCTAAATAAACGATTGAATTGTAGATTATTTAAAACTACAAAGGAGTTTCAATGAATTGATGACTAGTTAAAAGGATTAAATTATGAATAGATTGAGAAGATTCCGAATTTTGAATGATTTTAATCCAATTGTGTTCAGTAGTCGGTGCAACCTTCATTGTCTTCATAGACAAACATCATCAATATGAACTTCAAAGACAAGTAATCTAATAAAGATTCTACAATTATGACAAGTAGTTTTTTTGTTATATTCTACTTACAAAGACTAAATTTTTTAAGTTCTGAAAATAACCACTGTAGCAGAAGAATCTGCATCAGTAGGCCTCAATATATGAACAAGGGAAAAAGCAAAGTCCTGAAATACAACACAGTTAACATCAATCCTGTCACAATTAATGGAGAAACTTTAGCAGAGGTGGAAAGTTTTATGTACCCGGTCAGCAGAATCAATGAAGAAGGAGGATCTGATGCAGAAGTAATGGTAAGAATTGGAAAAACAAGGATATCATTCCTACAATTGAAGATTCAACTAACATTCAAAACAACTGTCAACCAACGTCAAATTTAGAATCTTCGATACGAACATTGAGACAGTTCTACTGTGCAGAGCTGAAACGTGGAGAACTACCATAACCATCATCGAAAATGTACAAGTATTTATGAACAATCGTCTACGTAAGATACTCAATGTCCGTTGGTCGGATACCATAAGCAACAGTTTACTGTGTGAGACAACAAACCAACTTCCAGCTGAAGAGGAAATTAGGAAAAGACAATGGAAGCGGATAGGACATACATTGAAAAAATCATCAATGTGCATTACAAGGTAATCCCTAACTTGGAATCCTGAAGGGGAATGGAAAAGAGGAGAGCTAAAGAATGCACTGCATCAAAAATTGCAAGCAGATATGAAAAGAATGAATAACAACTGGAAACAAATGGAAAAGATTGTCCAGGACAGAGTTGGAATGAGAATACTGGTTGGAGGCCTATGCTCCTCCACGAAGGGTAACAAGTGTGAGTAAGATGTTTCCAGTTAAGTTGGAGTAAGGTAAACTTATTAGAGGGCATAACATCTGCTTGACTATAAATCTAACGATTATGATGCATATTCAGAATGTTCAGAATAATAAATATGATAATTCAATCTGCAATGAATGCTGTAGACTATATTGGTTTTAGAATAAACTCTTTTGTGTATTTTCTTTATTGATTAGGAGACAGAAAACTTGAGATTGTTTTGTCTTGAGATAATAAGGAATACTACAGGAGAAGTAAGCTAAACGTACTAATTGTTCATATTGAAAGTAATGATTTATGCACTTTTCTTTTGAGGTATTCAAAATTCACTGAATTGTAAGCTCAATCGGTATAAGATATTGATTGAAAAAAAACCACTATCAAATAATTTTAAACAAATGGATACGCACTGCTCAGGAGTCCCACAATGAGACAAAACGGCCGTTCAGTGCTTCCAGGTTTTCCATGGTGGTCTAGCTTCAATTGACTCATGATTTTAACTATAAAAATTATGAAATATTTAAATGGACAATATTTGACGGAACAGTCGCTTTCAATAACTTCATCACCAGGCTCTACAGTTATAAGTCCATCATTATTGTGATATTTTACAAAGGCTAAAATGAGGCATGTATCCGTGAATTTGACAAAGTTATATGTTAAAAATGGTGAACTTGAGCACCTGTTACGACATATATACTTCGAGATTGTGTTATTAGTATATTAGAAGGGTCATTTAATAAAGGTTCAAATGAATTTGGAGTAAAGTGTCCAGTCACAATCAGTAGAATAGTAATATAGCAAAATGAAAATGTAAAAAAATCGTGTGAATAAAATTCATAGCAGGAGAATTTCATCTTGTCATTTGACATAATAATGACAAATAGTAATGATGATAATAATAATGAGATTGTTGTGTGAATATAATACGAAATAATAATAAATTAGCCCACAGTGCCCTGGTACGGCCGAGAATGGGGAGAGTCTGCTCTCCCTCTCCAAATGCTTTCACATGGACACGCATATATTGCCCCTAACAGGGAAGTCCTACTCACTGCCTTCTCAAGCTAGGGGTGTTGTTTATGAAACTGAGAGGACGAAAAGCGAATGCCAGGCGCTTTAACTGGGTCGGTGAACACGGCGAGTCCTCCTAGGAGAGTTGGAAAACCCTGATTCCAAACCAATGGTGCACATGGGTTCCAGTATCTTGAGAGAACAAATGGCGTATGGACCTATTGCTGATCACCGGCTACCATGGGACTGCATCTCCTCACAATGCTCTACTGTCTTGTGGATCAGACCTTTAGGTCAAAGGCTCGGGGTGTGAGCCGCTAAGAAAACCACCTGCTTCGGTTTGAGCTTCGGGGCAGTATAATAGTCATCACATAATTGGACGAAATGACATTTTTGTGTGGTGCATATGTATCTGGTTCCCCTTTGTACCAATATTTATGTGCTTAAATAAAATAATAAATACGGTAATCACATCTGTCATTCCCAAGACACTGAGGCTGCAAGGCTCCAGAACTCTCAACAGTGCGATAGCTCGGCATTTACTCGACACCGGGCACAGCATTGACATTTCTCATGCCTTTAAAATCATTAGTAAACAAAGAAGTACGACTGCTCTCCGGTTTGCTGAAGCGATCGCGATAAAAAAACTCAAACCGGATCTATGTATTCAAAAAGAGACAGTCATAAACTTATTACTACCCTGGTAATCCTTTTTTGTTTGTTTGTTTCAGTTTTGTTGTTATTAGTTCAATTTTGGTTAATATTCAGTTTTTTATTATATTCGCCTCCCCTTACCCGATTCTTAAACCACCCTTTCTCTCACACATTTCCGCTAATTTGTCTCCTAATTATATGAACTATCCAAATTTATTCAATTATTACGTAACCCTAAATGTTTTCAACTACCTCTAAAATAATCACATTTTTGATTTTATCTGTCTCTGAACTCCACTCAACTATTACGCCAGCCTTTATTCTAATACCTAATAACCTCTGACCTTTCCTTGCCCATATATATATATATAGTTATCATCGATGACTTTTGTTATTCCAATCCTTTACATTCACTTATGTCAGTCGTTCCATTCTATTTATTACCCCAATGCTAAAACTCTAATGCATATTTGGTTGTAAGCAGCTGATGAGAAACCACGAAATATAATGAATTCATATTATTCTGCATCAATATTTGTTCTGTCTTTATTTACATTCCGAAATCGTTTATCATATTGTTCTCTCAAATATTGTCCATTTTTGAATATTAAATAGGGATCCTTAAACTGCTGAAATATTTAAATGTTCCTTTATATTTCTACTGTTATCTATTTATATTTAATTATACTTGATATATGTGTACATCAGAATTTATGACATAGAAGATTATATCAGTTCACTCGTCAGCCATAATATCCATTAATCCGTTAAGTGCTCGCACGCGAGATTGGTAGGTCCTGGTTTCGAATCTCGTTAGGCGGGGTCGTGGATGCGCACTTCTGAGGAGTCCCAAAATAGGACGAAACGGTCGTCAGGCAGTGCTTCCAGGTTTTCCATGGTGGTCTAACTTCAATCGACTCATCATCTCAATTATATAATGTTATCTATTTATGCTTAATTATACTTGAAATACATATATATACATCAGAATTTATCATACAGAAGAATAAATCAGTTCACTAGTCAGTCATAATACCTATCAACTTGTTTAGTATTTCTTCTCTTAATGTTCTTATGGGTTCACTTAAATGATTCAAAATGGTTCTGTTAGATTAATTTTTTTTAAATTCTCATTACCACTTATTTTATTCACATAAAAATGAATCTTTTTTTCTTTTTTTCTTTTTTTTTAGAAAAAAAAGAAAGAAAAATAAAGGTATTTTTTTCTTAGATTTAATTTAATTAGTTTTCCGTTAACTAGAATAATTACTTGTACTCAATCGATTTTAGAGAAAAAAGGTAAAAAAAAAAATACGATCCATATAATGAGAAAAGAAATTAGTAAAGAGAAAGCTACTATAGATGAATGAATAAATAAAATAGATGTAATAATTATAATAATCATGAGCTGAATAGTGAATAATTTTGAGAGGATCATTTCCAGTGTCTTTATGTTAAATCGTGACCGGAGGAATTCACTCATTATCACAATGGGGTTTTGTGGAGATTTTAGTAATTTTAAATAGTTAAAATCATGAGTCATTTGAAACTAGACCATCATGGAAG